CTCTTTCATTTCTCTCTGTGCACCTCTATGAAAAATCCTGAGAAGGAGAGCAATGTGCTTGCCACATTCCCCCAGGCTCTTTTGCAAAATATTTCAGCCTGCCCTTAGCACTGGTTCCACCCATTCACCACCGTCACTGACATTTATTTGAAAGACAAAAGAGAATTTCCCTGAACCCGGATGTTTCATGGAAAGACAGAACCAGAGATTTATGCAAGTTGGTTTATGCTGCTTGAGGCAGGTTCTTCTACAAAAGCATTGAATACCTCCAGTGTTTTGCTCTGTACAAATTCAGTTATCAAACATCAGAGCATGATAGTAAATGTAATTACACAAGTGTAATAAGTTTATTTCTTTCTTCAGATCCTGTGCCAGCAGTGAATGAAAAAAATCAGTCACTTCTAGGTGGAATTTGAGTCACTGCAGTGACAGCTACATCTAAGCAAGGAAATGGGGTATTGCACATGGTGCTGAAACAATAAGTAGCACATTAATACACCTTGTTCCAGGACTATTACACAAGTCTACAACAGAAGTCAGACCAGTGTTGAAGTGCATTTGTTTTTAGGGGAAAATACGAATTTTTTAAGTGTTAGTAGTAAAAAGGTTTTATAAATGAAAAAATGTAGTCACTAAAATAAAAATCCAAGGCAAACCAAAGTAAAACTAAAGGATTTTATCTGATAGGGTTTGATACTACAGAGGAAATGTTGCTGGAAGGCAAGAAACTGAAAGAGCAGCAATAGCTAATGTAGTATTTAATTGTGTGGAGATACTTTCAATTTCTAATTTTTTTTGCAAGAGTTCCTTTCTAATACTTCATTGTTTGAGTACCTTAATAATTGTTGGAAGCCCTTCTCTTTTGTGGGAGCAGTGGTTAACCCCCCTTGAATATCCCACGGCAGCCACTGGCCCAAGAGGAGCCAGGGAGAAAACATTCACAGGACAATGGCCTGCCTTATCTGCAGTAAACAAAATGCTATTTTTTCTCAAAATGCAACGCCAGGAACCTCTCAAGACTGTCCAAATTCTAGCCTGTGTTTTAAACAGTTAATTTCCAGCTTGATTTCTGTCAGCCCAGCTGTGACACCGCTGCCTTTGGGCAGAACCTCATGGGATGGGATGAATCCTTGGGGTGCTGGCAGGGAGCAGCCCTCTTGTCTTCCCCAGCAATGCATTCCTCAGGGAAATCCAGTCAGCTTCTGGAACAAAGAGGGCTTGTCTCAGGCTGGCAAGGCTCAGATCAAGTGTTTACTCTGTGCTCAGAGTGCTGCTCTCAAAGGGAATCTGAAGCAGCAGGTTCTGGCCATTCTTCTGCAGCTGGAGCTACAGAATTTGGATTTCTGAGCCTGAACTGGGGATATCAGCATCCAGCATTTGGGATAGAAGGCCTGGCTTTGCCAAACAGAGTCATAGAATTGCTGAGGCTGGAAAAGACACAATTTTGTGGGGGGCACATGAACACAACTCAATTTTCATTGTATCTCGTACAACAAAGCCCTGCTTGAATCCAGGCTTAGCAATCAAAGGTGGTAACTAATGACAAATGCTTCCAAAACATCTCAACATCATTAGTCAGTCACTGGGAGGAAATAGAGAATCCACCTCTCTGAAATTATGTGAAAAATGCAGGAAAAAAGGTGACACTCATTCAGACTTGGCAGGCTCTTTAGAACAGAAGCAGTACAATTAATGTCTACATTACACCCTGTGACTAATCCACTTATTTCAGAAAAAAAGAAAAGATAAAATTTGGTTGGATGAGTACCAGGTGATTCAGAGTTAAAGAGGTGCTCCAAGTGTTATTCTAGGAAATTGGAACAACTCTCACTCCAGTGACACAGCCAGGTCACTGATGAATTTCCCCAGCCAGGAGAGGTTTCATTAAAATAGACTTCTTGTGCCCTGAGTCTGAGAGAGAAGATCTCCTAATAGCCACAAGCTGCTGTGTGAATTTTAGTGTCTACTTAGGTTTTGCCATCTAGATAAAAACAGCCAAAAAATTAAACAAAACAAAACAAAACAACAACAATAACAACAAAAGATAGGGAGATTCTAGTGCAATCCTGTTTAAAAAGCTTGGTTGTGGATTGCTGAGTCTGATGGAGTTAACTGAGAAAATAAAATAGTCAGTTGAATGAAATGACTCCAGAGTATATTCCTTTAGTTATATAGTTGGAATTTGGTGCAAGCAGTGGGGCTTGGGCATTAAATGACCCCTGAGCCAGAATTGGGAGCAGAATGTTGTGCTCAGCTGCTGAATTCAGCTTGATGTCAATGAATATTTGTGAGATTCATGGGAAAGTATGGGGAGAAAGTAATGAAAACCAGAAAAACGGTGTTTTTTACCCACACCCTGCAAACCCTCATTGGCTTTTTGAAATCTCAATCTACATGAGGATTTATTATTAACAAATAAAAAAAAATAATCTACTTGCTGGGTATGAGATGCAGAAACAAAACCATATTTATTTATACCCAGTTATAAATAGTTTTGAGGCGGGTTCCTGGGAAGGAAGACTACAGAGCTGAATGATCTGCTCCATACTCCAAAATTAGAATAGAAGGATAAACAGGACAGGAAATCCAGCATACAAACAAGAAAACAAAGGCTTTGTTTCTGAGCTTTGTTTCTACCCCAGTTCTGACCAAATAGGTGCCTTGGTAGCACTGGGAACAGCATGAAGTCAGAAACTCATAGAACCCATATTTTTTAAAAGACAGCTCATTTAAAAAGAGCAAAGGAAGTGTCCTTCACGTGCTCCTGGTTCTTGCCACCCTTGTGTTTGCAGGCACCAGCCTTCACTGGGAGATTGGCATAACCCTGAGCCCCTACAAACCAAACAAAAAACCAAAACAAAAGGCCAAATAAACAATTTTAGCTTACATTTTGGCTTTAATTCTTTGTATTTTTTAACTAGGACATGAAAGGCAAGAAATCCCAGGTCTTGCTTTTCATGTTTTCATGCACCAGTGATAAATGTTTATGTGGCATTTGGCTGTTTGCATTTCCAGCATATTTCAGTCTGATTTAAAAATGTGCACAAGACATTCTGAATGGCTGGGTAAGTCCTGAGAAGCCAAACTCCTCAAAGCCACAAAGCATCCAACCATGGAGGGGAAAAAAAAAATTAAATAGTTTTGTGATCAGCAACCAAAAGTAATAAAATTTGAACCAAAAGTAATAAAATTTGAACAAAACTCTTCTTTCTGGAAAGCAAATATGAAATGTCTTTCACCTCTTGACTGACACTTGGGTGAGAGCTGAAAAGTCTCCTGGCTGAGATTCAATCTCTTGGATCATATTTGTGGTTTTGCCTGGTTTAGGATGTATGTTAATGGAAAGGCTAAAAATTTATATAACCAGCCTTTAGAATAGATTGTGTGTTTCCGACTTAAAGACTGCAAACAAAACATCTTTAACAGCTCAGCATACTTTGAATTTAGATTTATTCAATCTGGAGAAGTTAAAACTTTATGGAATAAGTGCTAATCAATGCTCAAAATAATTAGAATATTGTATAGCCACAAATCCAGTTGCTGTAGTAAGATCAATCTTTACATTTCCTTTCCAGAGATGATTCATTCTCACCAAATTAAATCTTCATTCCTTTCAATAAACCTTGAAGTATTTCTTGATGACTCTCTCGCATATTCACTCCAGCTCACAGAATTTTGAGGCATTAGATAAATGGTTTTCGAGTGCTGTGAGTGGAGAATTAAAGAGGAGAAAAATGATAGAATAATTGTGCTGAAAAAGTTGTGGCATGAAAGTTGAAATTATTTCTTAATCCTTTAAGAGGTGTTAGGATTACAAAGCTGTTCTAAGGCATTGTAGCAGAATTTATTGAAGATAAAGATATCACAGCTTCCCACAAATGGCACATGTGAGGCTGCCACCAGTGAAGCATTTTGGTGGCTCATAATGTGTAAGGTTTGCCCTGAATTCATCCAGTGAGTGATGCTGACCTTTGCTCTGACATTATCCCATGTGAAAGCAGCTCCTTCAGTGCCAGCCTTGCAGGAAAACCATCAAGAACTGCCAGGAGGGTGACAGCACCAAACACTGGTGAGAGGGAATTGTCAGCAGCAGGGGGAAGATATTTAAATATTTATTTTAAGAGAAATTTTATATTAAGATATCTACAAGTTCCCTGTGTAGTGTTTCAGAAGCAGGGGCTCAGACCATCACTTGGAATTTTTAATCAAACAGACAGCACTCTTCAACACGGTAAAACATTAGTATTTTAAGCACAGAAACATTAATTTTAGAGACAAAATAGATTTATTGCTTTGTAAACCTTCCTTCCTTTGATTATAAATTACACTGCTCACAAAACAGATTAATTTAACTTGAAAATATCTGCATTTTATAAATAAGCACAGACCCATCATTGTTTAAAAGAGAAATATAGCACTAAAAGCAATACTCAGAGCAATTAGAATATTGTATAGGCACAATTCTGGTTGCTAGAAGAGCTCAGCCCTATAAGTGAAAGTTCCTGGGGTTTGATCTCAGCATATTGAAGGTCAAGGCACAGAGTTAAAGTGTTAAAGGGATGGCTCCCAGATCAAAGTCAGAAATAAGCAAACTCACAGATTGATTGCTCTCAACTATTTGGACAGGCTTCATATTAACAGGGATGACAACTCAACTAAGTAAATTTCATAAGCAGAAAACAACTGAGGGAATGAAATATTTTTCAAGAAATCTGGGAGTTTGCTCCCAGCTGGCTGCCATGGAATCAATGGGATCCTTTAGGTTAGAAAAAACCTTTAAGTTTATTGAGCCCTACCATTAAATTAGCACAGATAAATCCACCAAAACCATATCCTCAAGTGCCACCAAATTCGCAATCAGACTGGAGCTAATTAGCACAACTCAAGGAGTTATAAAAAGGATTACAGGGAACTCTATTGGGACAGCCTGGGAAGCTACACTTTTTAAAAATGTGGATGAAAGCAGAAGCTTGCAAGGTGTGGATCTCTTCCTTTTTACAGCAAAGTCGGCAAACACAGATTTCAGTGACAGGCGACAGAGCTGTGGCTTTTCTTGAAGCCTGTTGGCCATCCTAGAGCAAACGTGAGAGAAATTTATTTGGCTTTCCCAGTGGTCCCACTGGGAGCATCCCCTCCTCGGAGCTGAAGGGGTCCAAGCACCACATCCACATGTTCCTCAGCAGGGCTGGTGTCTCTCTTGGCCCTGGAGCTGCAGCCCCGGTAGCAGCGGGAGGAGAAGTCCCCGAGCCTGCAGACCAGCATCCGGCACTTCAGGTACACGGACGGGTGCCGGCTCATGAACTCGAAGGCGTTAAACTTGAACCGAGCAAAGTGGCTGGAAGGGGAGTAGAACGTGGCGTAGGAAGAATCTCTAGGACACCTAGAAAGGAGCAAAAAAAAAAAAAAAAGGGAATTAGTCTTCATGGATGTGCACATGCACATTCCTGCAAAATTAAAACTCAGGTTATTTGATTTATTATTATGAATTCCTGCGAAATTCAGATAAAAATTATTTATAGCATAGTCAGGTACTAGGAAAGCAGTGGGATAAAAATGTAACTTTCATAGCACAGTACGCACTTTAAAAATACAGATTTTTTTTAAAGTACTATGAAGCAGCTGGAGTGTTGGCAATTCTTCCTTTTCCAAGAGAAGGATACTTTATGTGATGAAGAGGGAACAAACTCTAACAAACAGATTGTTAGTAATATCAGTGTTATACAAGGCATAAAAATTAGTCTAATGTTTGACCTGGTTTTACTGAAATATTTAACTCCTAGGATGACAATTCCCACTGCTGTTTTTTTGTATTTTGTTCACAGGACAAAGACGGAGTAAGTGAAATGAACTGATAGTAAGGTCTAAATATAATTTCTTATTCCCAGGCTCATATTGTAAAAATACAAAATCAAAGACCAATTTTCACAGTCTGCTGATAACGAGTTCTAACCCCATCCAGATTGGCTGTATTATTTAAAACAAATGTGGATGACAGGTGTGCTTCTAGCTTTGAAGAACGCTCTTACCCATTCCTGACTAAATAATAGGCCAGCGTGTTAAAATCACGAGGATCAGGCGATGCCACACACGTGTCCACAGCCACCTTCAGGTTTGGGTCCGAGCTGTGAAGACAGGCTTGGAGGTAGAGGTTTTGGTTGAGGTCGATGTAGTAGGGAGAGCTGCGCACTTGCTGCAGGAACGCTGCGGAATCGTAGAAGGTGATGTTCATGTCGTATCTTCCAAACTGGTACTCGTTCACATCCACGGTGTCCTCAGCAGCGTACATCACCTGCTGCCAGCTCTTCCTCAGCATTTTGCAGCTGACGTGCAAATTGATGTTCTTTTTCCTCTTGATTATGTACCCGGAAGATGCGACCCTGATGGTGTTGGAGTAGTTGATTGTGTCGCTGTTCTCCTGTTTAACGACACAATTTAAAATCAGGAATCGCGCTTTTGTCACGTTCCATCTAAGTCTAGCCAAGCTTAGATATGCAACTGAGTGCCCAAAACAGGGAGTGTACCTCTTGTGTTGTCCCACAGCTGTTGTAGGGAATGTTGAATACAACTTCCCGTGACGTGACTATCGGTCTGCAGTGATTGTCGTCCAGGGTGACGCTCTGTGCTGAGTAGCCCTGAGACTGGAGGTAGTCTCTGCTGACCACTACGTGCATGTAGTCTGGCAAGCATTGAATGGCTGGTAGAAGAGGAATTTAGTAATGATTAGAGGCAGTTTTTTTTCTGAATTTAGAAGTCAGGCAGTTCCCACCCCAACCCACTGTATTTCATGCACGTCATTCAGTTTCCACAACAATATTTAAATATACACAAATATTTATTATTCAAAGAAAAGCAATAAATAGGCTTGTCTGTTGAGAAACACTGGCCAGGAACTTACTGGTGTTGTGACCTGCTGGGATGGAAGAGTAGTGAGCCTGAAAACCTCTGAAGGAGTTTCTGGAATCACTGTGGAAGCGAACAGTCATCATGTTTGAAGAGGACACATACGTGGGAAAGGAACCAGAACAGAATCTCCCAAGAAGAGGGGAAGAATGGAGAGGTCCATCATAGACTTCAATGTAGTCATGCTGGCACGTCCCGCTTTGCATCCTGGTAGAAAAACATCAGCACCTTGTCAAATCCATTTCAGAAGAAAATTTCAGAAACTCTGATTTCACTGCCTAAGATATGATAAGGCCTTTCAGCATTTAAAGTTTTCTCATCACAAATTTAATTTGGTTTTTACAAAGCTTTAGCAGAAAATGGTAAGTAAAAAATGCGACATCCATCCATATTTTGATCTGGCCTTCCAACTGTGGATGCTATTGGAAGTATCTTTAAAATTGGGAAGGTTGGTTGTTTCAGATAAGATTTCAAACTTCTCAGGTAAGTTTTGACTTTGATATTTGTCCAGGGAATCAATGTTTTACTTACACAATATCTCTAAATGTGAGCGTCACACGGAAATTGTTCTCTACTTGTATTTCCCACACACAGTCAGCATCGTTTGGATAATTTCCAGGATAGTTGGGACTCTGCAGCACCCCAGAGGAATCTGAGACTGAGCCACCACAAAAATAAGATGCTGCAAAAACAAATGGGAAAGAATTTACTTACAAAAGTGTACTTGAGCTGTATGTGCCTCATCCACAGCTGTGGAAAAGCAGGTCCCCCTGCTGACTGCAGGTGGTAGACTATAGGAGCTGAATCAAAACTAATATTTGTTTTTGCTTTAGGTTTGCTTTCATGCTGGATTTGGAATTCCTTCAGTGGTAGATTTCCATCCATGGTGTCAGGCTACCCTCTTCAGGATGGGCTGGTAATACCTGGATGCTTTCTGCCCCTTTTTAGAGTTGAGGTCAATTCTGGGAGGTATCATGACAGTTGAATTGGAAGCACCTTCCTCAACAGACAGTCTCTCAGCAGTTACTCTGCTGCTTCTCTTTATTCCACTAAGGTCTTTGGAGGGTAAATAAGTTGCAAGTTTTCTAGAAAACTGCAGTTTTCTGGTCTCAGAGTGAAATAAGCACTTCAGGCTGCTGCAAAAAGTCCTAAGTACAAACATAGCTGCAAAAAGCTTTGGTGTTCCTGCCAGCATGAATGACATAATTTTTGTCACAGATAATCGTGGAAGTATCTTTGTAGGAAGGTGAGAACAACCTCAGAATATAAATGCTACAAGATGTAACATTTAAAGATGAAAATCCATTTTATATTCTGCTTGAAAAAGATCGCTCACACTTGCAACGATATTGTCAGAGAGACAAAAGAAAATTTTACAGAAATGTGCAACAGGGAGACAGACAGACCACAAATTACCAAGGTAGAAGAGCCACAGCATTACCTGGTGGAAGTGTTGAGGAGGCCACTGGAGCTGTGGGAGTGAACGAAGAAGAGACATGTGACAAGTGCAGTTCATGAGAAAGGAACAGGGCCTGGACATGGCCTCACCTTGAGGCACAGAGTGATAAAATGGGGATCACAGGGAGGCAGGGAAGTAGAAACAGGAGACAAGGCACAAAGGGCCATCAGCTCCATAGGACACCCAGTTGCCTCCATGACAAATGATAATATCCTCATTTCTTCTGATCCTGTGCCAAATCCCAGAGTACGTCTAGAACACAACTCTGGTATGACAAAAGCAGGAATTGAAGGAATGAAGGCAGATTGATCCCTGGGAATGATGCTGCTGGTTGCAGTGGGAGGCAGTCCCTCTGCAAAAAGTTCCATGAAACCAGCAATGACTGCAGAGTTCCTGCTCTCAAAGCACAGCTGCCCCATTTCCCAACTCCTCCCCATGCTCTGTTTGAATCCTCACTTTAGGTTGTGGTGGCCCAACTGAAGAGGCCAGGGGTGGGAGGCTGCCTGCAGTGCAATGAGCTCTGCCAAGGGAGATCAGCAGCAGTGGGAGAGCAGTGAGTGAGAGTGGGCAGGGTTACCTGATGTGCTGCTCTGTGTTGAGGTAGGCGTTGTGGTGGTGGGGATCAGCAGTGCTGTGCTGGGCGCCTGGGACGTGGCAGGGGCTGCTGCTGAGGTGGTCGTTTCCAGAGGGGTGGATGTCTCTGTTAGGGAGGTGATCAGTTCAATGGCAATGGCCATGCAAAGCAGAGCTGGGGGCCTAATGCCAGGAGAGAGGGTGGAGCTCTTTCCTTCCTCTCCCCCATCCTGGCACCACCCTGACCTGTTCCCAGTCCTACCCCATCCTCCTCAAAGAGCAATCCCTCAATCCATTGCTTTGCCCCATCAGTGGATGGCAACAGCAGAAATTCCGGAGGGCCTTCTGTCCCCTGTCTGTGCAAAAATGGGGATTTTGGATGCCATGGGCTTGAGTCCCAGGCATCAGAAGACCCCAGCCTCACCTCTGCCCTGGCCCGACCCAAAAGACTCTTAGAAAAATAAGTAAAAAGCCAGTGTTCCCTGGAGGCCACCCACCTGCACAGATGACACTGGCATCCTCACTGTGCCCGCAGTTGTGCATGCCCCAGCCGTTGTGTCGGCACATCCGGAGGGAGGGCTCGTCCCCACGGCACTGCACGTCGTCCAGGAAGATGCGGCCGGAGCCCAGGCCAAAGCGAGCGTTCTGTGGGGCTTCTATGGGCTGGCCACAGCCCAGCTGGCGGCACACCACCTGGGCATCCTGCAGGTCCCACTGGTCGTCACACACCGTCCCCCACGAGCTGCCGTCGTACAGCTCCACGCGGCCCTCGCAGCCGTTCCTGCCGCCCGACAGCCGCACGCTGGGCCCTGGCACATGGTACAAGGCAGGGTTTGGGGTCACTCCAAGTCAGAATCCAGAGTCCCAACCACTTCCTCTACAGTTTTGGAGGTTTGGTCCCAGTGATCATGATCTGTGGTGGTGCAGACCCAGGAGACTAGGAGAGGGCATTGGCTGAGGAAAGACTCTGGGTATGGAGGTGTCACATGTGCCCTGTCCAGGGAGCTGCAGGATCTGGCTGGCAACACAGGTGCTCAAGAGCCTGGCTTGTGCAGAAAAGCCCTTTGCTAGCCTTTATTGTGGCCCATTCACTGAGGGGGACATTCATGCAGTCTGGAGATGTCAGGGGAATAGGGGAACTGCAGCCTTACACCGACCAGGATCAAACCCATTGAACTAATTTCTTCTCTTATCATGCCACCTTGGGGGTGGCTTAAAAATCAGGCCTAAGATGGGCAAGTTGGACTTACCTGTTGGTAGTGGCTGTTGAGGAGGAGGAGTTGGCTGGGTGGCTGCAAGAAAGAACAGAGAGTAAGAAATGGTCAGTGAATGCAGCTGGATTGTACCAATGGATTGACTTGAGCATGGACATGGACATGGACATGGACATGAATAAGGAAATGGACATGAAAATCCAGGCTGCAGGATGGAAAGGGGAAGAGAGTTTGGAGTTGTGTCCAGACTTTCCCCCATCCAGACACCAGCCTGATGTACTCCTAGTCCTGCTTCATCTTTCCCACTCTACAATCTCTCAATCTGCTTTCTGCTACCTCGCCACTCAACCCCAGGTCTACAAGACACATCAGCGTGTCGGTCTTAAGTGGAGGAATCCAAAACCCTTCAGATGGACTCTGCTGGCCACCCACCTGCACAGATGACACTGGCATCCTCACTGTGCCCGCAGTTGTGCATGCCCCAGCCGTTGTGCCGGCACATCCGGAGGGAGGGCTCGTCCCCGCGGCACTGCACGTCGTCCAGGAAGATGCGGCCCGAGCCCAGGCCAAAGCGAGCATTCTGTGGGGCTTCTATGGGCTGGCCACAGCCCAGCTGGCGGCACACCACCTGGGCATCCTGCAGGTCCCACTGGTCGTCACACACCGTCCCCCACGAGCTGCCGTCGTACAGCTCCACGCGGCCCTCGCAGCCGTTCCTGCCGCCCGACAGCCGCACGCTGGGCCCTGGCACACGGCACACGGCAGGGACTGGGGTCACTCCAAGTCAGAATCTACAGTCCCCACCACCTCCCCTACAGTTTTGGAGGTTTGGTCCCAGTGATCATGATCTGTGGTGGTGCAGACCAGGAGACTAGGAGAGGGCATTGGCTGAGGAAAGACTCTGGGCATGGAGGTGTCACATGCGCCCTGTCCAGGGAGCTGCTGGATCTGCCTGGCAACAGAGGTTCTCAAGAGCCTGGCTTGTGCAGAAAAGCCCTTTGCTAGCCTTGCATGTGGCCCATTCACTGAGGGGGACATTCATGCAGTCTGGAGATGTCAGGGGAATAGGGAACTGCAGCCTTACACTGACCCGGATCAAACCCATTGAACTCATTTCTTCTCTTATCATGCCACCTTGGGGGTGGCTTAAAAATCAGGCCTAAGATGGGCAAGTTGGACTTACCTGTTGGTAGTGGCTGTTGAGGAGGAGGAGTTGGCTGGGTGGCTGCAAGAAAGAAAAGAGAGTGAACAAATGGTCAGTGAATGCAGCTGGATTGTACCAATGGATTGACATGGACATGGACATGGACATGGACATGAATAAGGAAATGGACATGAAAATCCAGGCTGCAGGATGGAAAGGGGAAGAGAGTTTGGAGTTGTGTCCAGACTTTCCCCCATCCAGACACCAGCCTGATGTGCTCCTAGTCCTGCTTCATCTTTCCCACTCTACAATCTCTCAATCTGCTTTCTGCTACCTCGCCACTCAGCCCCAGCTCTGCCAAGACACATCAGCGTCTCGGCTTTAAGTGGAGGAAGCAAAACCCTTCAGACAGACTCTTATGGCCACCCACCTGCACAGATGACACTGGCATCCTCACTGTGCCCGCAGTTGTGCACGCCCCAGCCGTTGTGCCGGCACATCCGGAGGGAGGGCTCGTCCCCGCGGCACTGCACGTCGTCCAGGAAGATGCGGCCGGAGCCCAGGCCAAAGCGAGCATTCTGTGGGGCTTCTATGGGCTGGCCACAGCCCAGCTGGCGGCACACCACCTGGGCATCCTGCAGGTCCCACTGGTCGTCACACACCGTCCCCCATGAGCTGCCGTCGTACAGCTCCACGCGGCCCTCGCAGCCGTTCCTGCCGCCCGACAGCCGCACGCTGGGCCCTGGCACACAGAACAAGGCAGGGACTGGGGTCACTCCGAGTCAGAATCCACAGTCCCAACCACCTCCCCTACTGTTTTAGAGGTTTGGTCCCAGTGATCATGATCTGTCATGGCGCAGACCCAGAAGACTCAGAGAGTTCACTGGCTGAGGAAAGACTCTGGGTATGGAGATGTCAGATGTGCCCTGTCCAGGGAGCTGCTGGATCTGCCTGGCAACAGAGGTGTTCAAGAGCCTGGCTTGTGCAGAAAAGCCCTTTGCTAACCTTGCACGTGGCCCATTCACTGAGGGGGACATTCATGCAGCCTGGAAATGTCAGGGGAATAGGGGAGTTGCAGCCTTACACCGACCAGGATCAAACCCATTGAACTCATTTCTTCTCTTATCATGCCACCTTGGGGGTGGCTTAAAAATCAGGCCTAAGATGGGCAAGTTGGACTTACCTGTTGGTAGTGGCTGTTGAGGAGGAGGAGTTGGCTGGGTGGCTGCAAGAAAGAAAAGAGAGTGAACAAATGGTCAGTGAATGCAGCTGGATTGTACCAATGGATTGACATGGACATGGACATGGACATGGACATGGACATGAATAAGGAAATGGACATGAAAATCCAGGCTGCAGGATGGAAAGGGGAAGAGAGTTTGGAGTTGTGTCCAGACTTTCCCCCATCCAGACACCAGGCGGATGTGCTCCTAGTCCTGCTCCATCTTTCCCACTCTACAATGTCTCAATCTTCTTTTTCCCACCTCGCCACTCAGCCCCAGCTCTGCCAAGACACATCAGCGTGTCGGTCTTAAGTGGAGGAATCCAAAACCCTTCAGATGGACTCTGCTGGCCACCCACCTGCACAGATGACACTGGCATCCTCACTGTGCATGCAGTTGTGCATGCCCCAGCCGTTGTGCCGGCACATCCGGAGGGAGGGCTCGTCCCCGCGGCACTGCACGTCGTCCAGGAAGATGCGGCCCGAGCCCAGGCCAAAGCGAGCGTTCTGTGGGGCTTCTATGGGCTGGCCACAGCCCAGCTGGCGGCACACCACCTGGGCATCCTGCAGGTCCCACTGGTCGTCACACACCGTCCCCCACGAGCTGCCGTCGTACAGCTCCACGCGGCCCTCGCAGCCGTTCCTGCCGTCCGACAGCCGCACGCTGGGCCCTGGCACACGGCACACGGCAGGGACTGAGGTCACTCCAAGTCAGAATCCACAGTCCCCACCACCTCCCCTACAGTTTTGGAGGTTTGGCCCCAGTGATCATGATCTGTGGTGGTGCAGACCCAGAATACTCTGTGATGTCAGTGGCTGAGGAAAGACCCCGGCTATGGAGATATCACATGTGCTCTGTCCACGGAGCTGCAGGATCTGCCTGGGGACAGAGCTACTCAAGACCCTGCCTCACCTGCAGAAAAGCCCTTTGCTAACCTTGCACATGGCCCATTCACTGAGGTGGACATTCATGCAGCCTGGAGATGTCGGGGGAATAGGGGAACTGCAGCCTTACACTGACCCGGATCAAACCCATTGAACTCATTTCTTCTCTTATCATGCTGTCTTGGGGCTGGCTTAAAAAGCAGACCTAATTTGGGCAAATTGGACTTACCTGTTGGTAGTGGCTGTTGAGGAGTAGGGTTTGGCTGGGTGGCTGCAAGAAAGAACAGAGTGAACAAATGGTCAGTGAATGCAGCTGGATTGTACCAATGGATTGACATGGACATGGACATGGGCATGAAAATCCAGGCTGTAGGAAGGAAAGAGGAAGATAGCTTGGAGTTGTTCCCAGACTTTCCCCCATCCAGACATCAGGCTGATGGTCTCCTAGTCCTGCTCCATCTTTCCCACTCTACAATCTCTCAATCTGCTTTTGCCACCTCGTCACTCAGCCCCAGCTCTGACAAGCGACATCAGCGTGTCGGCCTTTAGTGGAAGAAGCCAAAACCCTTCAGATGGACTCTGATGGCCACCCACCTGCACAGATGACACTGGCATCCTCACTGTGCATGCAGTTGTGCATGCCCCAGCCGTTGTGCCGGCACATCTGGAGGGAGGGCTCATCCCCGCGGCACTGCACGTCGTCCAGGAGGATGCGGCCGGAGCCCAGGCCAAAGCGAGCGTTCTGTGGGGCTTCTATGGGCTGGCCACAGCCCAGCTGGCGGCACACCACCTGGGCATCCTGCAGGTCCCACTGGTCGTCACACACCGTCCCCCACGAGCTGCCGTCGTACAGCTCCACGCGGCCCTCGCAGCCGTTCCTGCCGCCCGACAGCCGCACGCTGGGCCCTGGCACACGGCACAAAGCAGGGACTGGGGTCACTCCAAGTCAGAATCCACTGTCCCCACCACCTCCCCTACTATTTTAGAGGTTTGGCCCCAGTGATCGTGATCTGTGGTGTTGCAGACCCAGAAGACTCTGAGAGGTCAGTGGCTGAGGAAAGACCCCGGCTATGGAGATATATGTGCTCTGTACACAGAGCTGCAGGATCTGCCTGGGGACAGAGTTACTCAAGACCCTGCCTCACCTGCAGAAAAGCCCTTTGCTAACCTTGCACATGGCCCGTTCACTGAGGGGGACACTCATGCAACCTGGTGATTTCAGGGGAATAGGGGAACTGCAGCCTTACACTGACCCGGATCAAACCCATTGAACTCATTTCTCTTATCGTGTCACCTTGGGGCTGGCTTTAAAAGCAGACCTTATTTGGGTGAGCTGGACTTACCTGTACTGAGTGGCTGTTGAGGAGGAGGGTTTGGCTGGGTGGCTGCAAGAAAGAACAGAGTGAACAAATGGTCAGTGAATGCAGCTGGATTGTAACGATCGATTGACATGGACATGGACATGGACATGAAAATCCAGGCTGTAGGAAGGAAAGAGGAAGATAGCTTGGAGTTTTATCGAGCCTTTCCCCCATCTGGACACCAGCCTGATGTGCTCCTGGTCCTGCTACATCTTTTCCACTCTACAATCTCTCAATCTGCTTTTGCCACCTCGTCACTCAGCCCCAGCTCTGCCAAGACACATCAGCATGTCGGCCTTAAGTGGAGGAATCCAAAACCCTTCAGATGGACTCTGCTGACCACCCACCTGCACAGATGACACTGGCATCCTCACTGTGCCTGCAGTTGTGCATTCCCCAGCCATTGTGCCGGCACATCCGGAGGGAGGGCTCGTCCCCGCGGCACTGCACGTCGTCCAGGAGGATGCGGCCGGAGCCCAGGCCAAAGCGAGCGTTCTGTGGGGCTTCTATGGGCTGGCCACAGCCCAGCTGGCGGCACACCACCTGGGCATCCTGCAGGTCCCACTGGTCGTCACACACCGTCCCCCACGAGCTGCCGTCGTACAGCTCCACGCGGCCCTCGCAGCCGTTCCTGCCGCCCGACAGCCGCACGCTGGGCCCTGGCACACGGCACACGGCACAAGGACAACTCACATCAGCCCTGCACTCTGCTCTCCCCACATGGGCCACTGGGACAGGGAGATTGCAGGGTTGCTGCAAGGCCTGGAATGAGGCTGGGGGACTGGAATTACTTTTGGGATATGGTGTGGATCTGCTAGGCTCAGGAGCTACATATGCAAAGAGGAATTTTTTATCAATGACAAAGGCTCCAAACAGAGTCATCACAAGTTCACGCAGATGAGGATAGCCCGTTTTGTAGGAGCCCTGTCCTGTGATTCCTACAACATCTTGTAGAGCTCTTTGACTCCTCCTAAATGACCATAATGACTTTGCTGTTTCACATGGGACTCCCTCAAAATATCTCAAAATATTTAACACATCATCTTTCTTTCCTCCAGCCACATCCCCAGCACCAGAGCGTATCTAGGAAATAGCTCTGTTATTACCCATGTAGGAATAAAAGGAATGAAGGCAGATAGATATCAGGGCATGATTCTTTTGGTTTCAGTTGGAGGCAGTCCCTCTGCAAAGAGTTTAATTAAACTGGCAATGACTGCAGAGTTCCTGCTCTCAAAGCACAGCTGCCCCATTTGCCAGCTCCTCCCCATGCTGTTTGCATCCTCAGTTTAGGTTGTGGTGGCCCAACTGAAGAGGCGGAGGGCTGGGAGGCTGCCTGCAGTGCAATGAGCTCTGCCAAGGGAGATAAGCAGCAATGGGAGAGCAGTGAGTGAGAGTGGGCAGGGTTACCTGATGTGCTGCTCTGTGCTGAGGTAGGCGTTGTGGTGGTGGGGATCAGCAGTGCTGTGCTGGGCACCTGGGACGTGGCAGGGGCTGCTGCTGAGGTGGTCGTTTCCAGGGGGGTGGATGTCTCTGTTAGGGAGGTGATCAGTTCAATGTCAATGGCCATGCAAAGCAGAGCTGGGGGCCTAATGCCAGGAGAGAGGGTGGAGCTCTTTCCTTCCTCTCCCCCATCCTGGCACCACCCTGACTTCTTCCCAGTCCTGCCCCATCCTCCTCAAAGAGCAATCCCTCAATCCATTGCTTTGCCCCATCAGTGGATGGCAACAGCAGAAATGCTGGAGAACCTTCTGCCTGTCTGTCTGTGCAAGAATGAGGATTTTGGATGCCATGGGCTTGAGTCCCAGGCATCAGAAGACCCCAGCCTCACCTCTGCCCTGGCCCGGCCCAAAACCCTCTTAGAAAAATATACAAAAGTGCCAGTATTCCCTGGAGGCCACCCACCTGCACAGATGACACTGGCGTCCTCCATGTGCCCACAGTTGTGCACGCCCCAGCCGTTGTGCCGGCACATCCGGAGGGAGGGCTCGTCCCCGCGGCACTGCACGTCGTCCAGGAGGATGCGGCCGGAGCCCAGGCCAAAGCGAGCGTTCCGTGGGGCTTCTATGGGCTGGCCACAGCCCAGCTGGCGGCACACCACCTGGGCATCCTGCAGGTCCCACTGGTCGTCACACACCGTCCCCCACGAGCTGCCGTCGTACAGCTCCACGCGGCCCTCGCAGCCGTTCCTGCCGCCCGACAGCCGCACGCTGGGCCCTGGCACACGGCACACGGCACAAGGACAACTCACACCAGCTCTACATCTGTAACCCTGAACTTTAGAACGTGGCAGATTTTGCCACAGTGATTCTGAACTGGATTAGTGTAGACCCAAAAGGGGTTAGGGGGGTTTGTAACCAAGGGTAGACTCTAGGCATAGAGACACCAGTCTAGCTGTGTCCAGGGACCTGTTGGTCTCCTGTTGGAGCTGCCTGGTTGCAGAAGTCATGGATTCACTGAGGCATTTCCAGAAAAACCCTTTTCAACCCCTGGGAGCAAACCAACCCCTGTGGGAACCCTTCAAGCACGCTGGAGCTGTCATAGGCCAAGGAGATCAGGTAGCCTTGAACTGAGCATGATCAGCGCTGTTGGACTCTCTTCTCATCTTTTGCCAGTCTGGCCCTCACTTTAAAACTGGGCAGAAGTTGGGTGAGCAAGACCTACCTGTTGTGAGTGGCCACTGAGAAGGAGCGGTTGGATTGGCGGCTGCAAAGAAGAAGAGGGAGTGAACAAAAGCATAGTGAGGCTTGTGGCAGTGTATGGACATGGATGTGGACATGGTCATGAACACGGTCATGAAAATTCAGGCTGTAGGACTAAAGGGGAAGAGAACTTGGGTCCTGCCTTTCCCTCCATTCCTAATCTAGCTGGACCTGTCCCCAGTCCTGCCAAATCCTCCCCAAAGAACAATTCCACCCTCCTGCTCTCTGCCCCATCATTTAGTCTCTAAAGCAGGAAATGTGGAATATCCAGTGTGCCCTCTCTGTGTAAAAATGTGTTTTGCATTGCACAGAGTTCAGCCCCTGGTGGCAGAAGACCCCAGCTTCACCTCTGCCCTGACCCTACCAGGGGAGCTCAGCTTGGCTGTACTCAGAGAACCCAGAACACACTTAGAGTGATTTACAAAAGGCCACCCACCAGCACAGATGACACTGGCATCCTCCATGTGCCCGCAGTTGTGCATTCCCCAGCCGTTGTGCCGGCACATCCGGAGGGAGGGCTCGTCCCCGCGGCACTGCACGTCGTCCAGGAAGATGCGGCCGGAGCCCAGGCCAAAGCGAGCGTTCTGTGGGGCTTCTATGGGCTGGCCACAGCCCAGCTGGCGGCACACCACCTGGGCATCCTGCAGGTCCCACTGGTCGTCACACACCGTCCCCCACGAGCTGCCGTCGTACAGCTCCACGCGGCCCTCGCAGCCGTTCCTGCCGCCCGACAGCCGCACGCTGGGCCCTGGCACACGGCACAAGGCACAACATCAGGTTTCCAACACCCCAGCATCTACACTCCCCACCACCTCCCCAAATGTTTTGGAGGTTTGGCCACAGTGACTTTGACTTGAGGTGGTGCAAATCTAAAGAGACCAAGGAAGGGGAGTGAGAGAACAAAGATCCCAGGTGCATGGAAGGCTGATGCATAATGAGTAAGGATTTGCTGGGGAATCGCATGAGAACAGCTTGGGGGTCCTGGGAGCTGCTGAGGGCATGGGGGCATTTGTCAAAAAGCCATTTTTGCACACTATGATCATGCAACATCGCCTCATACCACTCATACACCTTGCATATGTTTGAGGCCACAGGCCCTGGCAGGGTATCCACAAGGGACTGGCCACCTCTGCTTGATGGCTGAACAGAAACAGTTGTGACCTGACATCAGGACAGACACCTGTGCCTTGGGCTGGGCTGGCAAGCACATGGGCTTGAGGGAAGGGATTGCCCCCATCCTCTTGGTACTTGCTGCCCCTCAGCCAGAGCCGTGGAGTGTCTGGCAGATCAGGGCTTGGACTCAGCACCACTGTAGCTGCCATTCTGCTGAGATCAGATCCTCCCTGGCAGAAACACTCAAATGACAAGACCCATTTCAATGGGCAGAATGGACCAGCAGCACTGCAGTGAGCCAGCTTAGCTCAGCAGGCCCTCTCTCTTATCCTCTTGTGCCAGGGTGGGGCTCACTATAAAAGTGGAAATATTCTGGGTGGGAAAGAATTACCTGTTGTGTATGGCCATTGAGCAGGAGGGGCTGGATCGGCAGCTGCAAGGAAAAAGAGGGAGTGAATGAAAGAGTATTAAAGGCAGCAAACTTGTGGCAGTGGATGGACACGGACAGGGACATGGACACAGACATAGACATGGAAGTGCTAGGCTCAAGGAATAAAGGGAGGAAAGGGCATGGAAGTCTTGCCACTGCTGACATGTCCTCAGTACAGCCCATGCTATGATTCCACCAATCTACTCTTTGCAACCACATGGAGCACCTACACCTGTGAGACTGGAGAGCCTGTTCTGACCTCTCTGTGCAAAACTGGGGATTTTGCATGACACATATTTCAGCACCAGGCAGCAGAAGACCCCAGGCTCTCCCCTCTGCTCTGGCTCTGCATGTCTGCCTCCCATGGACGACACCAGACCCCATCCAGCGTGAGTTACTGGAGAGCTGATGGACTCTGCTGGCCACCCACCTGCACAGATGACACTGGCATCCTCACTGTGCATGCAGTTGTGCATGCCCCAGCCATTGTGTCGGCACATCCGGAGGGAGGGCTCGTCCCCGCGGCACTGCACGTCGTCCAGGAAGATGTGGCCGGAGCCCAGGCCAAAGTGTGCGGTGTCCAGTGCAGCCACGGGCTGGCCACAGCCCAGCTGGTGGCACACCACCTGGGCATCCTGCAGGTCCCACTGGTCGTCACACACCGTCCCCCACGAGCTGCCGTCGTACAGCTCCACGCGGCCCTCGCAGCCGTTCCTGCCGCCCGACAGCCGCATGCTGGGCCCTGGCACACGGCACAAGGACAGCTCACACCAGCTCTGTGCTCTGCTCTGACCACATGGGCCACTGCTGCAAGGCCAGGCACGGGGCAAGGGGGCTGGAATTACCTGCGGAGCTTGGCCTGGGTGTGGTGGGTGCTATAGCTGTGGATGAAAGGAAGAATTTGGTGTCAATGACAAAGCTTCCAAACAGATCAGCACATATCATGCAGATGAGGGTAGCCCATTTTCTAGGAGCCCTGCCATATGATTCCTGCATCATCCTGCAGAGCTCTTTCACTCATCTGAAATGACTGCCTTGACTTTGCTCTTTCACACACTGAACAGTGAGTGAGAGTGGACAGGGTTACCTGGTGAGCTCTCTTCCCCTCTTGCAGACATTGCTATGGCGGTCGTCCCTGCTGAGGTGGTCGTCTCTGCTGAGGTGGTCATCTCTGCTATAATGGTGGTGTCCTTGATCTTCTTCCCTGTCATGGACATCCCTGCTAGCGATTCCACTGTAATTCTCACAGTGGCCACAGCATTTGGTATTATAAGCAAGGCTGGATCATTAATGCCACTAGAGAGGGTGAAGTTCTGCCCACTCATTTCCCATGGAGACACCAGCCCAAAGTGCCCTGAGTCCTTCCCCTGCCTCCCAGCTCTGTGGCCCCTCAGTCCTGCTCTTTGCCGCCTCTCTGAAACCCTATTCCTGCAGGCCAGGAGAGTTTGCTGCTCTCTTTGGGCAAACAGGGCTTTTGCTTGGCACAAGCTCAGCTCACGAGGCAACAGAAAGCACCAAGGTTGCTGCTTTGCCCCACGTCTACCAAGAGAGGTCAGCATGGCTGCTTCCAAGGGACAGCACCAAAATCCACCACTGGGACACGTGCCAGGGGTTAGGGTCACTCTGTAAAGAGATCAGGAGCATTAAGGAGACCAGTGAGTGAGAGATGACAGGGTTACCTGGTGTGATCTCCTCTGTTCTCATAGTTGTTTCCTCTGAGGTGCTCATCAATGCTGAGGTTATCATCCTTGTGGATGTGGTCATCTCTGGTGAGGTGATCCTCTCTGGTGAGGAGGTCATCTCTGCTGAGGTGGACATCGCTGGCATGCTGGTCAAGTATATTGGGCTGGATGTTCCTGCTAAGGAGGTCATTAGTGCAATGGAAGGGACATGAAAAGCAGAGTTGGACAATTAATGGGGGAAGAGGGCATGGAACTCTGTCCTGTCATTTTGGGAGTCTCCCTGCAGTGCAATCAGGTCTGGGGAGGAAGTCCAGGGGCACTAAAGAGAACAGTGAGTGACAGTGGACAGGGTTACCTGTTTCACTCTCCACTGTGGTGGCCATCTCCACTAGGAAGGATGTCTCTGCTCTGGAGGCTAATGGCACCACGGGGGATGTCTGCAATGGGGATGTCACTTCCCTTGTGCTGGTTGTTAATTCAGTTGTGGCCATCTCCCCAAGGGATGTCATCTCCTCTGTGAGGACTCTTGATGTTGACATTGATGTCTCCTCTAGAGATGTCATCAGTTCTGTGGGTTTTATCCCTTCTGTGGAGGTCACCTCCAGTGTTGAGGCTGTCAGTTCAAATTCTGGCTCTGCTGTTGTTGAATCAGACTCTTCTGTGAAAAAAAAAGAAGAACACCCCACACATAAGCACTGTGCAATGGATATGTCTATGTGGAAGTTACAAGCCCAGATCCTCAAGGATGAAGTGAAATCAAGAGCAATTGCTCTGATGGCATAGTCCTTCTTATCTGGGGTCAGTGGAGAGAATGGAGGTGGATAACAGCCAATTTTAATTTTTTCATGGAAGTGGTATTTACAGATGGTAAGCAGGGTAAGGTTCTGGAATGGCATCTACTTCCAGCCCCAGGACTCCACAGCTCAGACACAGCCTGAGACTCTACAGGCTCCTAGCATGAACGGGGGAGCTGTGGGGCTGCTGGGCTTGGATCTGTCCCCGTTGGGAATGCTTTTCTGCAGAGGATCAGGACATCCCCAGGAACAGTCTGGGCAGTGGTCTTGGGATGGTGCTTGGTGCAAGGGCAGGAGAGCACCAGGCTGAATCATCTGTTGGATACATCCAGCCCATAGAAGGCACTGGAGCTATGAATGCAAACAAGAAATAAATGGCATTTAAAAAGGCTCTGAACACATCACACATAGATTAATACAGGTCTGGTAGCAATTTTTATTCTTTTCTTCTAAGTGAAAAACACTGGTGAAGCACTTTCTTCCAGCATGGATTCAGCTCTCCAGGTTCTTACTCTCTAAGGAAACATGGAAAACTGCAATATAGATACAAAACACCTGAACAGCCTGTTGTCATCAGCTATGTCTCGGTTCATGATGATCAGTTGTTAATACATGTGGAAATAAGATACAAATAACCCACATTCTCCTAAAAAAAATATGGTAAAGTAAAATGAACACAGCAAGATGGAAGAGTAGTCCAAATGGATGGATATTTGCAAAGGAAAAAGGCATTAACAGACCTAAACAAAGGAAGACTTGAAAAATGGAAACAATGCAAAGTGAATTGTGAGCTATGACAATCTGAGCTGTGATTGTGAAATTATTATTGCCCATAACAAATCCATCAAGAATTCACCTTACCCCATTCCTCCCTGATAAACTTTGCCTAACAGATATAGCTTTGCCTCTGATTTTAAATTGTTTCCTTATTGCCTCTGCCAGGTGATTAGATAGAATAATTGTCCTGCTTATCTGCAACGTATATCTGATCCTTGGGTTTTTTAATTGCTTTGCATGGATGAGCAAGTGCAGTTTTTACATGACTTTAATGAGAAAAAACATGACTCCATGCTGGTTCTACAGGGTCATTGGAGTGAAAGAACGAGATTGGGGGGTGGGGGGAAATGTGGGAGTACCTGAACAGACAACAGAAGCATCTTCATAGTGGGCACAGTTGTGGATCTTCCACCCCGTGTGATTGCAGCGCAGCAAGGACACCTCGTTTCCTCCACACCTCACGTTGTCCAGCACGATGTCACCCGAGCCTTGCCCGAAGTAGGCACTTCCTAGAGCTGCAATGGCCCTGCCACATCCCACCTGCCTGCACACAACCTGGGCATCTGCGAGGTCCCAGAAGTCATCACAAACTGTCCCCGACCGTCCTCGGTAGTAGATCTCAACACGACCTTCACATTGATGCCTTCCATTCACCAAGTAGACATATGGAGCTTTGGGAGAGAGGGCATGGGCACAAAACAGTCAGGCAAATAGGCTGAAAGGGGCTGGAAGGAGTATCTGTTCTGCCTTTTTCCCCTGTTGTCCCTAGAAGGTGTTGCCCAGCCCAGTACTGTGTGGACAGAGGTGATTTGTATCTTTTTTTATTCCTCTCTTCCAGTTCTCAAAATCAGCCACATATGTTTTATGCAAGATCCCTGCAGTAAAGTTAGGCAGCAGGCTAAGCACAAGTGATTTAAGGAAGAAAAGAAAATTTTGGGACAAGTTTAAGGACTGAGAGTCCACACGTCATCAAATCCTATAGCTTGTAAGAGTAACTTTAGTGGAAGAATTCTACAGAATAGATGATGGTCTCAACAGGATTATAAAGATTTCAATAGGATCATAAAGATTTCAATAGGCTTTATTTCTTATATACCAGTAAAATTTTATTACAATTTGAAATAAAGAAATAACCTATCCTATATAGAGCTGATTACTGCATTAATCTGGGTAAAGCCCATCCACTTTTCAGTTTTATATGTCTTGTTTAGACATTGTGGTGTGACCAGCACGAAAATCCTGAATTTAGAGATCCATTTTTGGTGAAGAAGTTTATTAAAGGCTTTATTATCAAGTGTAAGCACGCAAATAAATGTTGTAACTTCAGATTTGCAGTATTTACACTCTGGAAATCAACACATGCAGCTGCACTTGTTATATTTTACTTTGCTGCCAAGTATATATTTACCTTATTATTAAACACTAAGTCATCCAAAGCAAAACAAATTTCAAAACTTAACAGCTCCAGGATTTATTCACTTCACCTAATTCTTTGCTATTGATCTAGAAGTACAGTCAAGATGGTGACCAAACTAAATTTGCCTTGATTTGTATGACTTTCAAAGGGCAAAGCTATAGAAGTGCCCCTTGACTTATATCTGACTTGTTCCTTCAAATATCTACTTGAACACACACATTTCGAACCCTACTCACAGGGTTTTTGAGAGGTGAAACAGCAAACCTGGCAAAAAGTCAGAGTGGGATTAGGAAATTAAAGCCAACCTAAGCCAGTTTTATTTGCTTTCATTCAAGGCCTGTCATCACTGTGAGAGCAAAACCATCAGCTGGGGATGAAATCGGATAGGCTGAGTCCTGCCTCACACTTCAAAGGTACCAAAAAGACAAAAGCCTGTGATTATACAAATACAGCAAATACTCTGCTCTGGGACACAGAGGCAGAGAGCAGAGAGAAGAACCAGAGCAGCCAGGGTGAGATGAGTTATCACCAGAAAATCAGGAGACAGATGGAGAGAATTGATGAGGCGAACGGTGACAATAGAAATTATCATCATGAAGCTTAAATAACTCGTTAAAAAGTCATCAGCAATTATTCTAAGGTATACACAAAACTTTAACTCAAAGTCACCTAAACCACTCAGGAGATAGAAAGTGATTATGGAAGGAAAAATTCTATGATCATAAAAAAAAGTTGAACTTAAAGTATTTAATCTCTCATAATTTTTAGATGTCCATCATTTAACCACAGTGCTACAGTGTGAAAACCTAACTTCATGTTATATTTTGTTAAATTGTACATAATATCAAAACCAAATAATACAAGAAATATTAAATATATAGCATATGTGTGCACACATATACTCTGTAATAAAATACACATGGAAAATAAGTAAAGAAATAAATATTTCCATAGTTTTTAGATCAGATTTCTGTAATGGAAGAATACCTCATTCATTACATACTCACAGACAGTTCTTGCAGTGACACAAGGCACTTAGATGAGTAGGACCACGTGGCACCAAAATGAACTCCACAAAATGGCTCAAATCATTCTTATCATCCTCTTTGATGATTACTTCATAATTTTAGTATAACAAAACTCTGCTCTTTCATCCAATCCCCCCTTTATTCTTTTGTCCAAACCAATACCAGCCTGAATCTATTTTCTACTCTTGGAATCAACAGAGAGGACTCCAAGAAGTCTTTATAATTTTTTTATGTTCCCTGGAACAAGTCTAAGGGTTTTACCTGTTTTGGCCTCCAGAACTGCTGGACCCAACAAGAGAAGCCATGTCAAAATCATAGTGGTACCCATCTCACCAGGTGGTGCTGGTAAAGAGGACCTGGCAATATATAGTCTCTATATTCTGAAGGGGAGTGGCTCTACAGGTCTCTTTTTCTACAGCAGAACAATAAAACAACCACAGTCCTCTAATCTGAAACAAACACATGTTTGATTTGTTGTTTAATATTTTGTAACTTCCTGGGTTTTGCAAAAAGACAATATCTCAAGAGTAACATTTTCCATTGCCTGGAAGGAACTATTTATGCTATCATAGGTTTCACAATCATCTCATTGTACCAAAAAAAAGAGAGGTCCTGTCCAAAGATACCTTTCAATTCTGGCTGATGCATCTCAGTATTTTTCTTTCATGAGGAGGTTCCTGGTCAGGTATTGGGATGGTAGTGGAATCTTGAAATTTAAATGGGTTTCTTTCAGCAAAATAGCAAGAGACCCTTTCCAACTAATGTGGCAGGTTTCCTTGTAGAACCATGAGTGTCCTAAAGCTTCATCAGACTTTAAATAAAATAAGATCAGACCTGGTGGCCTTGTTTAAGTATGACTGGGAGGGGGGGAGGTCTCTGAAGAACCTTGCAGTTGAAGTCAACAGGTCCAGCCCCAGTATAAATCTATTCGTTTGGGGCACATTGAAGTACAAGTCAAAATTCCAGTCAAAATTCAAGTCAAAATTCACTGACAGATAGATTGCAAGGAAATGTCAGAGAATCAATGTCAACTGATAACTTTTTTGTGCAAACACTGTGGAAAAAATCAGTGGATTTCATGCCTAGTGAAGAAAATTACATAGCTTGAAACTGATTTTGTTCTAAATTTTCATTTGATCCTTTGAACCAACATATAGCGGAAAAAAAGTTCTGATTTCTTCAGATTAGGGAAATGTCTTAATATATTCCTTGTTTAATTTTACATAATGACAGTTACATCTGTATCATTCTTTGAAGAATGAATCCAAGGTTTTTCCACAATATGATATAATGCTTAATTCTCATTCATCACTATCTTGCCAGAGTTGTTACTTTCCTCTGTTTCTGTGTTTCTGACAATTTAACAAGAAACTCTGATGATCATCCTAATACTGAAGAGGCAGAACATTGTTCTCCACCTCATCCCTACCTCCACAACCACCATGTCTTGAATGGAATTATCACCAGTTAAAATTGTTGCCATATATTAATTTATTGCCTCCAGGGACAGTAATCAAACAGGAAGACCAAAGCCCAGGGGGAAAAGAGAATGATCGAAAACATCTTTCCACAAAGGCCAATATCATTGGAATGGAAGAAGGAAGTGAAAAATATAAGAGGCCAAAGATAACTTTGGAAGCTTTGAAAGTGAACATTCAGAATGGTAAATATGTTTCTTCTTTATCCAAACAACCACATTTGCACATGAATGAGGATATGTACACAACACCTGGTATTCACTATTCATATTCTGGTTTTGACACCCTGACAAGAATGAAAAATCCAGTTTATTTGACTGGCCACCCTGCAATCAGTGAAGCAAGAGTGAGTGATGGATCACAGCTCTTCTCCAAACCCTTGTAATAGCTGAAAAAGGGTGAGGAGGAAGGGGAACGCAAAAGGGATTCCCAGGCGGTTCAAGTGTAAAAAAAAGTCTTAAGCTGCCCAGGTAAAAGATCAAGATTGATTGTTTGATTGATTGATTAGTTTTTCACTACCTTCTTCATAAATTAATTATTAATTTAAAAAATCTAGATATTACTAGAGATCTTTATTATCAATCTCTGCACAATGGAAATAGATAAATAATTTGTTTTAATTAACCTTAGTTAATTAGTGCAAATACCAAACAGTATTTCACCCTTCCCACTGGTCAGACAAATCTCCTGCAGTAACACATTTTTGTTTTCAAGGTCTTCTTCTGGCAGCTTGAGGTATTTCCCAGCACATCACTCTGGATGAAGCTGCACTGAGCCTTGAAAACACCATTTCTTCTGCTGAAAATAGTGAGGGCACTTTGCAAACATACTGGGGTTTTAAAGGTAAAAATGGAAACCAGTGAAAGGACAAACAAAATTAAGAAGCTTTCACCCACGACTATAGGAAAGTATCTACCGTGGAATAAGGATATCCACAGGCTTCTCCACAAAGGAGTGATAGCCTGAATCCAGGCAGGAAGGTCTGTTGCAGAGATTATTCACCAGGCACATGACCCTTTCCTCCACATCAAACCCAGTTTTCTTGACTCCTGCATTTCTATAATGCTCATGGATCACGGGAGATAGAAAGAAATGAGGGGGAGTCTGAAACATCTACCACCTGAACTGTTTGGCAATGCTTTCTGCAGCAATATTTAATATGGAAACCAGTGGACTTGGTAATTCTAACTTGTATTTTTACCCAGCCTTGTTATTTCTCCATCTGGGAGCCCTGGCACGGACATGCTATGGGAAAACTCAGCTCTGAACAGCACAGGGATGGTGAGGATTGGAGACACCAGGATCTAAGCCTGGGATCGTTCTGCTTGTCTGGTGAAAATAATACTGAGAGAATAGAAGTGTAAAAACGTGCCATCAAGCTGTACCTTGCAAAATAGTGTGGTAGCAACACCACAGCAGCAGGAACAGGGGAAGGAGGATACAGCAGGTCAGAGAAGAGAGAGAGGAAGGTCTTGTTCTAGAGAGCTGGGAAAACCCAGGTCCAGGGGAGTCCTTGCTGTGCTGAGCAGATGACCGGATTCTTCTGAGCCTGGACAATCTCTGAGAACAGGTGAAGGCAGGCCAGCTTCCTGAGGTGCTCTGCCCTCCACGTGTGGTTGCAGGTAGAGGGGGGAGTAGGACCCTAAAGCCTTGTTCCTCAAGTGTGGAAAAACCTCTCCCTTTCTGTGTGCAGTGCCAGCCCCTACCTGTGTGATCCCTTTTTTACATCATGGAGAGGTGATGAGAGCCCTGACTGGAATCATGAGAAGGCAGCTTGGAGGAACAAACGGTACAGGCTGTGCTGCTGGTTCCCATCAGAGCTGCCCATATCCTCCTTGTCAGGTCAGGATGTCACCCAAGAGTACAGCTCACCTTCCTCACACGTCACCACTTTGGCTCACCTTGCACATCTGACATTGCTCAGTTCCAAATGAACTTATCTTTTTCACAGCTGGCTGGAAAACAGGAATGTAAGAAGGGCATTTCTCAATCATTACCAATGACCTTTCCAACTGTATTAAGTAGCTTCTTTCAAATAAATTCTTCCTTTTTTATTGTTTTTTATTTTGTTTTCACATGGAGAGAGATCGCACTTCCTCATGGGAACTTTTGTACATTCTCTCCCTCCCACCCATTCCAGGTGTAGAAATGTGTGAGAGCAAGAGCAGGAATCATTGCTTGACAAAGTCACTTTGTCAGAAGCCACGTTCTCCCAACCCATGGCTAGTGTTAGCCATGAGTTCACACATACAAGTGGGATGTTTGCAAGTACACAAAAAAAAAAAAAAGTATTGCTCAAAACCCATTTTCTTTCCTGTTGTTTTTAATTACATATTTAAGTAACGTGATTATATTCATCCTCCATATACAATCGTATCAATGGCCTACATTTACTCAGAGAAATATGAATTTGGGAAGAACCAATCTGCCCAAAGTCAGTATTGCTGTACAGCAATAATTCTTCACGTGCAGCCCTTGAGCACATTTGCTTATGGCTCATTATTGAGATTTTTTACTGCAAAGAAACATTTTTCTTGTACTTCTTCCCAGTGTATCTATGGTGCTACACAGTTGTTTCATCTGCATATCAGCGAGGGCCAATAAGTCAGTTCTTGTTTCTCAAGTCACCTATTTCAGTCTTCCCAGACAGTCACACAATAAGGAGTTCAACAGAAAAGCTTTGAAATGTCCAGCACTGAAGATGCTTCTTTGGGTGCTGGGGTGAAAGAATCAATCCCTCTTTACACCTTAGTTTTTAAAATCAGATTGCTGTATAAATTCAGTTCATGGTAACATCAGGTGTAATCTTGATTCTTCAAACATGGTCTGGATGGTGGAATAGCCAAGTAAGAGCTGCCCTTCACACTGATTGCAAACCCAAATAATGAAGTAGGTGGCTGGTGAAAGTATCCTTCCACCTCCATACCCGGAGCTGCCTCTCACAATTTCTGGTATGGGATGGCCTCCTGCAGTTTTCTCTTCCAAAGAAATCCTCCCAGTGTGAGAACAGCAGCTACCAGCACCAGGGTAGTCACAGCCAGAAGGACGTGGGAGCTGGCAGCAGGCTCTGAGCTCAGAGTCTTCCCTTTTGCCTGGATGTCAGAGGCCAGCCCTGCGCATAAAAGAGTCAGGGAGAAACTTACTGTTTTGTTTCTTTCCCCTGAGCTACTTAATTGCAAAGATAATCAGGCAAAGAGAATTTGAGTTAAAAAGCTCTAATTAGGATCTGATCAGAAAACCGCAAGGTATTTCACAAATTATTCTCTGGCCATGCAAAACAAGAAAAGATTGTGGCAAGAAATTAAAGAGAAACTGGGAGTCTGTAATGATTACACTCAAAGACCTTAAGATGTTGTTTTTTGGTAGTGGAAACAGCAGCTACAGAAAACTGAGAAACAGCTTTTCCAAGAGGACCTAGAGATTGATTGTAAATAAATAACAGACATGGAAATTAAGCACAGACAGCTTTGGAAAAATAATATAAATCAGATTAGTTACATGTCATGCCTTTCCCCATAGAACTTAATCAATTTCCATTTGATATGTGCAGAACAAAGAATGGATCTAAAGTATGATAGAAAAGAAAGAGCTTGTACATCTAATAGAACTATTTTATATACATTAAAAATTAATAATCCCCCCTAATAATTATAGTAGAATTGTCAGTTAACCAGCAAATCACATTTCAGAGCTGGCTTTCCTGTCTGAACTGAAATGCAAACAGACAGTAACACACAGAGTTATTACGTTATTAAAGATATTTAAACTTACCAACGTTCCTGTTCTCAGGGCGAGCTTCCCGAAGCTGCACGGGTCCAACAACAACATTCACCTGCTGGTGGGAAGAATCTGCATTCCTCTTGAACCTGCTAACACAGCCCTGGTAGCAGCGGGAGGAGTAGTCGTGGTACCTGCACACCAGCAGCTCACAGCGCAGGAACACCGCCGGGAATCGGTTCGCGAACGAGAAGGCGTTAAACCCAAACCGAGCGACATCACCGCGCGGCGAAGGGAAGAGAGCGTAGCTAGGATCACTAGCACACCTGGAAGGACATAAAATAACAGATTAGCTATTAACTCACAGCTTCACTTGAGTAGAAACACTATTACAACCTCTCTTTGCAATAAGTTTCAGGGTTAAATATAAAACCAGGAAGTAAAAGAGAAATCAAAAGGCTTAAAAAAAAAAAAAAGTGTTTTTAGCAAGAAGAGAAATTACTAAATATGCACAGCACAGAAATTTCATAGCTTAATAAGTTCTGTGTAAATACAAGTAGCTGAAAAATGGCTAGTGGTTCTGCTGGTTTCTGTGTTTCAGGTGAGAGCCTGTTATGGACTTGCAAACAGGATTTTCTGTTTGAAAAGAGGCCCTTGAAAGTCGTTGGAGAAAGAGAAAGTTCCCCTTTATGCTCTGGAAGCATGAAACTAATTTTAATACACTTCTCTTTAGTGTTTCAATGTACTTTGGTATAAGTTTAGGCAAAGTGGTTTAGGTTTCTGGAACAGTAAGAAAAGGCTAAGGAATTTCTCTTCTTTTTGGGTAGACAGTTTTGTATTCCAGTTATGATGCTGTAAAACTCATGATGTACAGAAATGTAGAGCTGTGGACATCCCTCCCTTTCATATGTTTATTATAGAAACAAAGTTAGACCTCCATTTCCTCACTGACTCCTTGATTTAAATCTCAGTGCTTGATTGCAGCTTCTGAACGACATTTGGTTGTCATTCTGAATTTTACTCAGGCTTTGCCAAAAAGTTGTTCTTAGAGGAACATTTGCCCTGAGAATTACAACCAATGTACATTGTTCCTAAATCACCTAATTTCACAAAGTGAGCTCTTTTAGAACACATGGAGACACTTTTAAAGCAGTTTTTTACAAAGTTCTTACCCACTTTTGGTCAATTCATAGACCAGTGTTCTAAAATCACTAGAATTAGGTGACGCCACACACGTGTCCACAAACACGGTCAGATTTTGGTCAGAGCTGTGAAGAGAAGCTTGGAGGAACAAATTCTGATTCATGTCAACATAGTATGGGAAGTCATGCACTGGCCACTGGAAAGATGAGGAGTTGTAGAACGTCAGGCTCACGTCGTATCTGCCATACTGGGTTTTGTTGACATCAATGACATCATCAGCAATGTACATGACTTGAACCCAGGTGTTCTGCAGCATTTTGCAGCTGATGTGCAAGTGAAGGTCCTTTTGCCTCTTGATGACTCTGCCAGGAGCAGGCACTTTTATCACGTTGGAGTAGGTGATCGTTTCGTTGTTGCCCTGCTTGACACATTAAATGAGGGTTAAATTTACCACATGTGGTCATGTTCACTGCAAATACTGTGGGCATTATGAACTTCTGTGTGTGCCAGGTCCTGGCAGTCAGAAAGGACATTTCACAATGAAAAACCCTAAGCATCCAGGATGGGATTGCTCACTTAACTCTTCCCTTTTATTTCTGTTCTCTAGAACATCATTCTGAAGTAGGTACAGGGAGTACCCTGGGAAGGATAAGTAAAAATATTTAACCAAATTCAGCCTCCAGAAACTCCTTTTCTGTGTTTTGCATGCCTGTGGCCTACAGCACCCTTTGCAACCTATGACAATTTTCCAAATGTCTGTTAAATTCCCATGCCCAGAGCTGTCCCAAATGTCTTGACACCAACCTGTCTACTTGTACCACAGCCACTGTATGGGATGTTGAATATAACCTCAGTTGATGTAATTTTTGGTCTACATTGAGGGTCTGCCAGGCTGATGCTCCCAACTGAGTAGCCCTGGGACTGGAGATAGTGTCTGTCTACCACTGCTCTCATGTAGGTTGGCAAGCACAGAAGGGCTAGGGGAAAAAAATATGAATTATTAGTGATTTCAGGTACTCGATAATGCTTTCATATTGCAAGTCCAACAGAGGCAATCACTGCTAACATTTAGAGAGGAGAATTCCTAAGCCACACCACTTATTTTTATACTTGAGACTTAGATATGAGTAAGCAATAGGACAGTACTGGAACAGGTCACCCAAAGTAGTAGCTTTAAATATTTCATCCTTTGAATATTTCTAGACACATAGCTAGACCAGTTCTTAATGGACCTGACCTGGCATTGGCAGTAGCTCTGTTTTGAATAGTTGGCCTAGGAAACCTCCAAAAGTTCCTTCTAACAGACATTTCTATGACTCTGTGAAAGTTTGTCCAGAAGGTACAAAAATATATATGAATTATGATGTGATACAAAGAAAATAAGAGTATAGAAAATGACATAGAAAGCACCTAAAGGCAAATAAAATTAATATTTTTAAAGAAGAAAAAGTAGTTATTCTATAAAAGTGAGCAGTCAATAATCAGTCACAAAATTCAAGTAGGAATATCACCTACATGGGATTCCTTCAACAACATTAAAAAGTACTTATTTAGTAAAAAAACAATGTATAAAATCTTCTAAGCAAAGAAAACATTACCAAGAGGACAGAATTACAAATAGAATGGAAATTTACTGGTGTTCTGGTCTGCTGGAAAGGACTGATACTGAGCCCGAAAACTTCCACTGGAATATCTGGAGTCACTGTAAAACCTCACAGACATGAAGTTTGAAGATGAGGTATATGGGAGATGAGAACTAGAACAAATTCTTCCAAGTAGAGGAGAAGATTTGGGTGGCCCATCATAGATCTCAATATAGTCATTCTGGCATCCACCTTGCAACCTGAGGAAGAAATGAGAATATATTAAAAAACGCATTTGCTAAATTTTGGGGTTTAAATGCTGAACAAACAATATACCTGGATTCTGCACTCCCACATTTCCCATGTGTTTAGCATTCACTTATAGGATGGGAAATGTGCCCAGGGACTGCGGATGCAGTTGAGATTTGGAATTTTTTATTGCCCAAGCAGAAGGTGGTTTACTTACTGAATGTTATCAAATGTGAGCGCAATGAGGAAATTGTTTGTTACGTGTATTTGCCACAAACAATCTGCTTTATCTGAAGGATTCAAAGGAGGACTCTGAAATGTTCCAGAGGACTTAAAAAGTATATCACCACAAATAATTTTTTGACCTAAAAAAGGAAAGGAAAAAAAAAAAAGAAAATAAGGGATAGAAGTGATTAATTTAGATTTACTTCAGATTAAACAAAAATATGATCTATATACATAAACCATGGCAGCGCAAGTTTAAGTCTCAAAAGAAACATAATGATTGTGCTCCTCTCAGGCTACAAGAGTGATGAACTCTTCAGAGAATTATAACCTGTGCTTGCAGTTATTAACTCTGTGGGCTTCAGACACATAGGTATGAAATAAAGTAAAAGGTGGTGGCCTAAATAACATAAAATCAGAGAATTAACGAAAGAAAATCTCCCATGTAATCAACATACTCTGAAATCCACCCGAGCTCAAACACAAAAGACTAATGTATAGAATATAAAGAATTAAAACCAGAAAGGATTTTCCTCAATGTATTATACAACACAAATGAAAGAGCTTACACTTGCAAAACAGTAATTATGACACTTCAAGAGTAATGGATCAGAGAAATGGGAAAAAACATATAAAAATACAAACCTGGAGGATTTGTAACAGGGGCCGTGCTTTTGGCAGCTGAATGAGAGAAAGAAAAGGAAGCAGGTGAAGTGCTGGAGGATGAGGGAGCATGGCATTAATTGTTTCTGCCAAAAGGAGCAGCCAGAAAATGCAGGAAAAATTCAGACCCACCTGAAGGAGCAGAGGTGGCGGGGCTGGCTGTAGCTGTGCTTGTGGCACCTGCAGGGGAGGAAAGGAAAGAGGCAGGTGAGGCCTGTTGGATGAAGGACCATGCCTGGCTTTCTCCCAGTGCTGGGCACGTTGCTGCCAGCTTGGCACATGGGCAATGGAGAGCCTGGGGGTGTCAGCAGAATGGTCTCTCATGGTGGGACCAAGCTAAAACGTGACCCTGCACTCATGCCCACCAAATCATCTAATTCCAACTAACTAAGACCACTTTTTGAAAGAGTCCCAGAATGCAGGCAGTCAAATCAGTGGTACCTGAGCACACAACACCAGCATCTTCACTGTGGCCACACTTGTGGACGCCCCAGCCGTTGTGGCCACACTTTAAGAGGGACGACTCTGACCCTGTGCAGTTCACATCGTCCAGGTAGATGCTGCCACTGCCTTGTCCAAAGGAGGCACCTGATGTTGCAGAAACAGCAGCACCACATCCCAGCTGCCTGCACACCACCTGGGCATCGCTCAGGTCCCAGCCATCGTCGCAGACGGTGCCCCGGCCCCCAGAGTGTGAAATCTCCACACGACCCTCGCAGCGGTTCCTGCCGTTCACCAGGGTGATGGTGGAGGCATCTGGAAAAGAAGGAGGTATGGAAAACTTGAGAAGAGCTTCTAGCACAAAGACACCTTCTCTTGCCAGGGTGATGCCTTTGTCAACCTAGAAATGAAACAACACAGCTTTCAGGATAATTTTTGTGTAGGGAGTAATATAAAAGGGGATCTTCTTTGGAGGCCTCCAGGGAAGATATGGAAAAATATCCACAAAAGCCACAAAATATCCACAAATGGTGATGCAATGCCCCCTTGTCCAAGTCCCTTCCAAGTCCTCTCTGCCTTCAGATGGGACTGCGCTTTGTTGATGGAATGTGTCTGAAGAACCATTTTTTGGCCTTTTTAGCCAGGAAGAACCAAGATAGCACAGGGATCCTGGAATGAGTTATGACTTCCTGTCTACAAAAATGCTGTAGCTAAGTTACAATAAAAATCTGCAAAGCTACAAATATATGTGTAAAGGATATGGAGAATACATAAAGGAAAAAGATAAAAATCAAGATGGCATCAGAGCCCTGGAATCACTCTATGAATTTCAGGCCACCACAGCTCCCAGTCTTGACTGTCTTAAACTGGTTTTCCTGGCTTCTTCTCTCCCAAGGATAAAACCAAACACCAAACTCTGAGGCACTAATTCTATCTGCAAATAGCAGCAGCCAGAAAATGCAGGAGAAATTCAGACACACTGTAGGAGCAGGGAAGGTGGTGCTGGGAGTGGTTGTGCCTGTGTTTGTGGCAGCTGTAGGGGAGGAAAGGAAAGAGGCAGGTGAGGCCTGTTGGATGAAGGACCATGCCTGGCTTTCTCCCAGTGCTGGGCACGTTGCTGCCAGCTTGGCACATGGGCAATGGAGAGCCTGGGGGTGTCAACAGAATGGTCTCTCATGGTGGGACCAAGCTAAAACGTGACCCTGCACTCATCCCCACCAAATCATCTAATTCCAACTAACTAAGACCACTTTTTGAAAGAGTCCCAGTGTGCAGGCAGTCAAACCAGTGGTACCTGAGCACACAACACCAGCATCTTCACTGTGGCCACACTTGTGGAGGCCCCAGCCATGGTGGCCACACTGGAAGAGGGACAACTCCCAGCCTGTGCAGTTCACATCGTCCAGGTAGATGCTGCCACTGCCTTGTCCAAAGGAGGCACCTGATGTTGCAGAAACAGCAGCACCACATCCCAGCTGCCTGCACACAACCTGGGCATCGCTCTGGTCCCAGCCATTGTCGCAGACGGTGCCCCGGCCCCCAGAGTGTGAAATCTCCACACGACCCTCGCAGCGGTTCCTGCCGTTCACCAGGCTGATGGTGGAGACATCTGGAAAAGAAGGAGTTATGGAAAACTTGGGAAAGGATTTTATCATGAAGGCACATCCTATTGCCAGGGCCTTGGAATGAATTTCAGGCCACCACAATTGCCAGTCTCGGCTGTATTGAATTGCTTTTCCTGGCTTCTCCTCTCCTCTGCAGAAAACCACCAAACTCTGAGGCACTAATTGTTTCTGCCAAAAGCAGTGGCAAGAAAACGCAGGAGAAATTCAGACCCACCTGAAGGAGCAGAGGTGACGGGGCTGGCTGTAGCTGTGCTTGTGGCACCTGCAGGGGAGGAAAGGAAAGAGGCAGGTGAGGCCTGTTGGATGAAGGTTCATGCCTGGCTTTCTCCCAGTGCTGGGCATGTTGCTGCCAGCTTGGCACATGGGTAATGGAGAGCTTGGGGGTATCAACAGAATGGTCTCTCATGGTTGGGACCAAGCAAAAACATACTCCCACACACATCCCCAAAACGCACTGAATTCCAGCCAAGAGGGAACACTTCCTGAAAGAGTCCCAGAGTGCAGGCAGTCAAATCAGTGGTACCTGAGCACACAACACCAGCATCTTCACTGTGGCCACACTTGTGGACGCCCCAGCCACGGTGGCTGCACTGGAAGATGGATGACTCCCAGCCCGCACAGCTCACGTAGTCCAGGTAGATGCTGCCACTGCCTTGTCCAAAGGAGGCACCTGATGTTGCAGAAACAGCAGCACCACATCCCAGCTGCCTGCACACCACCTGGGCATCTCTCTGGTCCCAGCCATTGTCACAGACGGTGCCCCGGCCCCCAGAGTGTGAAATCTCCACACGACCCTCGCAGCGGTTCCTGCCGTTCACCAGGCTGATGGTGGCATCTGGGAAAGAAGGAGTTATGGAGAACTTGGGAAGACCCTCTAGCACAAAGGCACCTTCTCTTGCCAGGGCCTTGGCATCAGCCTACAAATTTCAGGCCACCATGATTCCCAGTCCTGGCTGGGTTAAACTGCTTTTCCTGGGTTCTCCTCTCTCAGGATGAAGACTAAACACAAACCTCTGCTGCACTAACTGTTCACCAGAAAAACATGGACAAATTCAGACTCACCTGAAGGAGTGGCCAACTTGAACCTGGGTGGATCTTTGGCTGTGGTGTCTGTAGGGAAGAAAGAAGTAGCAAGTGAGCTCCTGGTGCATGAAGGAGCATGGCCAGGTTGCTCCTAATACTGGGAATGTTGGTGCCACCGCACAACATGGGAGATGGAGAACTTGAGGGTGTCAGCGTGGTGTTCTTTCATTGTGGGATCAACTGAAAACATAATCCCACACTCACTCCCAACACACACTAAATTCCAGCCACAGGCAGGTGCCTTCTCTTGCCAGGGAGGTGACAATGACCTGTGAATTTCAAGCTACCATGACTTCCAGTCTCAGCTGCATTCTTTTGTGCTTTTCCCAGGCTCTGCCTTGGAGAAGACTAAACCCCAAACTCTGAGGCACTAATTATTTCTGCAGAAAGCAACAGCCAGAAAACCCAGGAGAAATTCAGACTCACCTGAAGGAGCAGAGACAGGGAGGCTGGGTGTGGCATTGGTGGCATCTGCAGGGGAGGAAAGGAAAGAAGCAAGTTGGATGAAATAGGATGGCCAGGTTGGATGAAGTAGGATGACCAGGTTTCTCCCAGTGCTGGGCACGTTGCTGCCACATTGTCACATGGGGGATGAAGAGCTTGGGGGTGTCAGCAGGGTGGTTTTTTGTGGTAGGATCAGCCAGAAACATAACCCTGCACTCATGGCCAATGCACACTGAATTCCAGCCAGCAGAGACCACAAGCAGACACCTTCCCTTGTTGGGACCTTGGCATAGGTCTACAAGGTTCAGGCCACTAGGAGTGCCACCCTTGCCTTCAGTTATGATGTACTTTTCCTGGGCTCTGCTGTCCCATGGAGATAACCAAACCCCAAAATCTGCAGGAATCACTGGTTCTTCAAAAACACTGGCCAGAAATTTCAGAGAGACTCAGACCCACCTGGAGGAACAGAGGGCATTAATGGTGGTGTATCAGTGGTTGTGGCATACGTAGAGTTGGAAGATAAAGAAGCAGGTAAGTCCCTGTTGGGTGAAGGATCATGATCAGGCTCCTCCCAGTGGTGGGCATGTTGGTCTGGCCCTGTCATATTGGAGATGGAGAGAAATGTGTCAATCTCAAGGCTGATCTTTTGTTGAAGGAGTAAGGAAACCAAAAATTTTTGGATACATTTTCAAAACACTTTTTTTTTCCTATAAAATGAGTCCTAATTGTTTTGGTCACTCTGAGATGTTGTGGATTTCCCTTCACTGGCAACTCTCCAGGTGAGACATGGCTCTGAGCACCTGTTTTAAACTGCCTCTGCTTCTTTTTGGAGGTTTAAGCCAGAAGATTATTAAAATTGCCTTGTAACCCAAATCATTCTATGATTCTGTGGTTCCATGAGTCTATGAATTTTTGATTCTTGTACATGGCTGCTTTCAGTGACTTAATTTACAATACATCTGATAAACTAATTCATATCAGGTGTGTTTTCCCTAGAGGGCTGCATCATCTGGGATCCAGGACAAAGCCCTGGTCTCTGCAAAATAATACATAATTAGTAATGCCATATTCCACAAAGGTGTGGTAGCCTCACAAATTTAATTTTTAATTAATAAAAGGATGTAAACAGAGACAACTGAAGGCAAATCTGTCAACTAGCAAACCTATGTTTCATACATGCATGTTTGGTCAGACTAAAGAGAATAATTTGGATTTTTGACTAATAATTTAATTTTTTAGTGGCAATTCTTAATGTCTATTTGCTAGGAATGGACAGAATTTGCTGGGAGGTCAATAAACCAAGATTAAAGTCTTACTGATAACCTAATAAAGTGAAATACTTTAATACTCAAAGTACTCAAATTTTGAAATACTCAAAGTTTACAGGAAGAGGTACCTGGGCGTGAGTAATACAGAATAATTTTGGAGCTCCCTTAAATCTGTGCTTCTAATTTGAAATACCACAGTACTTTCAGTTGTTTATATACACAGATTTATTTGTACAATTAAGTAAGTATAATAAGCCCAAAAACAAGAAAAAAGAGAACTTGTATAAATGTATTCATGATTTTAATGCAAAAAGAAATCAGTGACATGCTTAGTCAGGGTGAATGATGCGATACAGCACTATAAAAATGCCGTGTCTTTCTAAAGTCTTTTTCATCTGAGTAGCACACACAAAGTACTTGGTAATTCCCAGATATATAGAAAGTGGCTTTATACAGTGAGACAGGTGTCAGACCCTTTTGGTTTCTTTGTTCTATGATTTCATTGTTTTAAATGTCTCTTATTTTTATTTCCTTGGATCAGTTTTCATTTCTCTGTTTCTCTTTTTATAATTCAAGCATTTTGAACTGTCTTTTGAAAAGCAGTGGGCAAAAGAAGCAAGGCACACTCTATCGCCAGTATTCCCAGGGATATAATGGGTGTTTTTTTCTTATTTATAGATGCAAAAAACAGTGAACAAAGAGGTGTCTGAGTCAGAAGAAATTCCTAGCAGGAGCATAAGACTTCAGATATCTTCTGTGAAAGAGGAGTGAGAGTCGTACCTTTTCTATTGATTGGTTGGGGTTTCGTTGTTCTAGCTTTTTTAAAGTACTGGTAGCATTTAGAAAGTTCTTAGCAGTACTTAATATTGGTTTCTGAGAAAACTCAACACTGTTTTGTATTTGCATGCGTGCAGGGTGGATTGTTACAGTCTCCAGGTTTTTATTCCACCTGGCTGAAAGTCCCAAGTTAGTAAAATGCACACACCTGGGGCTTCCTGACACCCTACAACACAGCAACTGTGTCTTTCTGTTGCACTCCCATTAAATTATATAAAGCCAAATAAGTATTGTGTGGTTCCATGTGCATTTGCAAGGTGGAATTTGAAGTACTGTAAAGCAGATATGCATTACAGCCAAAGAAACTATAATCCCTCATAATTCCATACTGAAAGCCATAAATTTATAGGAACAAGGTCTCTCAGTCTTTCATGTCAGAATTCTTTTTAAATTTGGTTCAAACTTAGCTACAAGACACGACTGCAAAAAATGATAATTTCATTGCATTAAATTCATTTTAACAAAAATAATACTTAATTGTGATATCAATTGGTTCCTATTTTTAATAAGGCAACCTGGTGTTATCTAATTTCAACCTGTCTTCTAATCTCTCCAAAGGGTTGATTAAACTGGCCTGTGAGTGTCATGTATAAACCCAGAGTAACAAAGTAAAACAGTTTTTTTCCTACCTTTTTGGGAAGAATAATTTTTGTGTAGATTTGATGAGATGGCATCCAGGAGTGCTGCATTTAGGAGGAATAACCACAGCAAGTCCCTGGTGACACCCATCTTGTCAAGAGATCCCAGTAAAACTGAGCTTTAGATTTTATACTCTGCACTGGTAAAAACTGGGGCTCCCAAGGTCAGCCTGGCCCATGCTGTGTCTGATTTATTATGCAATATTTTTTATGATTATCCGATCTTTACAGAAGGATTACATAGGAGTGGTAAAGTTTCCATTTCCTAGATAATATGTGTTACTATGAAGAAAAGAAACTCTATGCCAGCCAAAACCAGGATATGCCCTTAGTATAAATTACCTTTAACTGTACATGCTGGCCCAGAGTTACCTTTGGAACCAGGCTGGTGAATATATGTGTTTCTTTGCCTCAACCATCCCCATTTTATTTATTTATTCCTAACAGGTAATTGCTTGATTATGCAGACTGTACTGCAGGATGAAGCAGCAAATCCATAAGCAGGTTTTCTGATAAATTCTTCAGCAGAGTCCTGGTCTTATAAATGTTTATATTTTAATTCTCCATTTGAAACTTTAGGTTTGTTTCCCTGCTGTTTGTGCACCAAAAAAAAACAAACAAAAAAACCCCACACCATAAATGGAATTAAATCAGGAATCAAAAGTAAATTCATGCCAATTTTTGTAACATATCCTAAGTGTACCTCACCTGCAGGCCTCTGTTGAGCTTGCTCTGCTTTACCAGTGACTTGTCTCTGTCTACAGCTATGGCCCTCAGATGCCTCTGCAAGCAGGACTCTCTTCAGTCCCTTCAATCACACAGTTTATAAAAAAGAAAAGAAGGATGAACTGAAATCAAAAGTCCTGTTGAGCTGGTTTCCTTGGCTGGTCTGTATCGCAAATGCAGGCAAACCCAGTGGGAAGAAATGATGATGTCCGACTCCAGTTCAGAAGGCTGAATGATTTCTTTATTATAACTATGCTAAAATACATTAATATACTATATAAAAGAAGATACTAAAACTACATCCTACTTTCTCTAACTACCATATCTAACTCACTCACAACTTGTGATGCTCTCTCACCCTGCAGGTGGGTTGGATTGGCCACCAGCCTCAAACAATCCTCCCCAGAATCCAACCAAGCACTCACCCCAGGTAAACAATTCTCCAAACACATTCCGCATGGGAAAAACAAGGAGCAGAAATAGAAATTATCTTCTCTTTCTTCTCTCTGTGCACCTCTATGAAAAATGCTGAGAGAGAGAGAGAGACATGCTTGCCACAGGTCTGTGTGAAGTCTTAACGGAGTTGTAGATGACTTGGGGGCACGACAGCCCCCAGTCCTGTCTGATGGGTCCTTTTATTGCATTTCTACTCTTTCTGCTCTCCTCATGAGGAGAAATAGAGGTCAGCTAGAAACAGGCCAGTTTTTGGTCTGAAATTCTTTTCATTACACACTTCAAGGTTGTATCTCTCTGTTTATTTTGGCTACAAGACCAACTACAACCAAACTGCAGTGGTTGGACATAACTCAATATTCTTGCTGATGTGTTCCAACCCTCCTTGTGTAGAAATGCACAGCTTGGGTCTAGAACAAGGGGTATAAAGAGTGCTCTTCCTGCAAAGGTCCACAGTGCTCGAATAGAGGAAAGAAAGACAAAAGGCCAGAGTCCAGTAACAGATCAGAAGCTGTTACTGAAAAGAGCAAACAAACAGGAGGACAATGGTAAATACAACCGATTGTACTCACATGTTAATAAAGAAATGGAAGCCTGAACATTGCTATTCACAGCTCTACTGCTCCTGACTGCCTGACAAGAGCAAAAACAATACCATGTGCTCAGTGGAGTGATCACACACTGTCATTGGGAGGGGCTCATGAGGTCAGTCCTGCTTCAAGACTCTTGAAAAATGAGCCAGACTTGTCTCAGTGGTGCCTGGTGGCAGGTTGAGAAGCAATGGGCATGAACAGAAGTACAAGAAACTCAACATAAGGAAAGAGAATTCCACTGTGAGACTGGACAAGCAGTGGAATAGGTTGCCCAGCAATTCTAGAGATTCCTCAATTCTTCAAGATATTCACACCAACTGGACAGTTCTGAACAGCTTGTTTTCTTTGACCCTGCTTTGAGCAAGGGGATGGACTTGAGGATCTCCAGATTGTCCAACCATAGGTGCACTGAGACACTGTGAACAGAAGATTTACGGATGATATCAAGGAGTTTTAACAACAGAGAAGGATGTGGTGTTATATCTATCCACAGTAATTAAATCTGGTAACAAGGTTCATGAACACATAATCATGTCAGGCTCCTTCCTGGGTCTCACCAGTTTCAGCTTAATGGTGCATTTCTGGCACTTCCAGTAAGTGTTTTTTAACTTATATGAGGGCCTATGCCTTAATAACAGGCACCTTTGATATTTGTAGAGGCTAAAATTCCAGTGTAATATACAAAACATGCCTCAGATTATCTGTTTTATCTATTGCTGAGATCACTGAGATCAGAGCAGCAGGAAGTTTTATGCAAAACAAAGTACCATAAAAGTCTGCAAAAAACGTGAGTTATGAGACTGCATTCCTGCTGGCAGAGCAGCAATCCATTGCTGTTCTCACATCTTGAATAAACGAAACTTTGGCCTTGGCTCTTGACCACTTATCAGTAGGATAAAATACACGGGATCAAATTTGTCTTACTATAATCAAAAGCCTTGAGACATAGGAAATTTTAGACATTTTTCTAAGAATATCAACCTCAATTAATGCCTAACCTGCTTTTTCAGGTCAGTTATGTGCTGGAGCAAGTGTTCAATAAACTATACTGTTATAGTTGGATTAAAAAGCCAAATGTTTTCTATGCAACTTCAAAAATGAAGTTTCAAACTGTTGAATTTTTCAATCACAGTTGTGATTTGAAATTTCAGCCACAATTTTTAGTGGCTCTTAGAGCTGTTAAACACTACAGAATGTCCCCAACAGTCAGAACTCCCTGTATTTGAAGGGTTTCTGGGAGAGATTTGGTGGAGCACTTTAGGGAAGTATGGTTAAAAAAGAAAATATGAGAGTAGATGCCATTGATTAATAATCATCATTTGTATTTACTTAGAGCACTTTAATGACTACACCATTTGCCCTAAACTTCAGATTTTATATAGAATTGGAGAAAACTTATTGTACATAGCCAACGAATGATGAGGAGAACTTCAGACCTTAATGCAAATATGACAGTGCAAATACCTCTTTGGGGACATTGCTATATTTTATAGTAATTCACCAGTATTTAACAGAGGGGGAAATTATAGAGACATGTGGGGGTTTGCTGCAATTTTGTAGGTTGTGTTTGCATGATAACAGGAACTTATCAGAAATCATTAGCTACTCCACTGACTTAAGTCACAAATATTAAACCCTTGTCTGTCATTAAATTTCCATCCAGTTCAATCCTCAGCCCGTGTTATCTCCCAGCCCTCTTCCCCTTCAAGAACCTTCCACTGAAGAATTTCCTCTGGCTGTGATGCAATGACTTTATCACAGCAGCACAGAATAAGTGAAAGGTGTTGAAGTCTGATCTAAGGCTTTTTCCCTTGGGAAGTTTTAAACACATTTCCAGCTCCCACTCCTTATGTGGTCCAGACCCTTCCCCAGCTCCTTTGCCCTTCTCTGGACACGCTCCAGCACCTCAATGGCATTTTCCAAAACTTAACCTGGGATTTGAGGTGCCACAGCAGTGCTGGTTCCCTGTACATGCCACAGGATGGCACTCAGGATGACAAAGATCAGGTGTTACAGACATAAGGTGTTATGTTGTGCTGGTCTCACAGCAGATCTGGCTGTATTTTTCTCTGGCAGGACCAAGATATCCATCGTGAGGAGAGGGATTTTGTGGTTCATGTGTTATGATTAAATAAGAGAGACTAATATTATAGGGTGGAAACCAATCTGAGTGTTGTTAAACTTTCCCTGGTCTTTTGGCTTCCTTCAATTTTGAGTTGTTATATCAAGTCCACCTCTTTTCATGAAGTGAGCCTCCACCAAGGAAAGCCAGTCCGGCTTGGATTTTAATCTTGAATCATCAATGAAATTACTCAGTGCAAGGAAATTGCTCAATCCACCAAACTACTCAGACAACGTGACCAGGTGTTTGGCAAGGTTTACCTAATCTGGTATGGAATGACTTTCTTCATTTTCTGCCTCAAGAGAAACCCATCCAGAGTGAGAACAGTGACTGAGGGGAGCCCTCATTATGGTCAGAAACTTCGTCATAAGGGGAAGTGAGGGACAGCACCAACATCTGGTGGCCAGTGACAGGACTCAAGGGCATGGCCTGAGGTTGTGTCAGGGAGGTTCAGGTTGAATTTCAGGGAAAGGTTCTTCCCCAGAGGGTGCTGGCACTGCCCAGGCTCCCCAGGGAATGGCACATCCTCAAGGCTGTCAGAGCTCCAGGAGTTTGGACAGCAGTGCCAGGGTGGGATTGTTGGGGTGTCTGTGCAGGAACAGGAGCTGGACCCAATGATCCCTGTGGATCCCTTCCATATTCTGTGATTCCATGAACAGCCAGGGGTTGAAAGCAAAAATTAAACTATGCACAGGAAACATCAGATGGAACAGCAGCTGAATTCAGGTTTTCCTGGATGACAAAAAAGAATTCAGCTCTGGGAGAGGCTAAAAGACCTGGTCATGCTTTATCCCTCATTGTGTTATGTCCAAAACACAAAAAATGCCAAAAAATATTATTCTAGATTATCAGATTTCTTGCACTCTAATACATTCAGACTCAGATGTGTGTTAATAGAACTTGTTTATAGAACCTAACTGCAATTTCAACATTTCAGTTTTACCATTAAGAAAGCAAACAACAAAAAAAAAAAGCTTAAAGATCACAAATTTCACTCCCCATAGAACTGCTGAGGTAGCATTTTTGTTATATGGGGAAGACTGGTGTGAAGTGGGATTAACAGGCATGAGGCAGTAAGCATATTCCTAATATTTATTCTAGAGCTTCTGGCAATCTAGCAGCATAGATCTAGTTTCTTCCAGAATTCAATTGGCATTTAAAGATGCTGTCTGTCAAATGAGACAGTTTTAGACAGATCCAAGTTAATTTGTAGCCTCAGAACCAGGTTCCCAAAGCTGTATTGGGCCAGCAACAACAATCACACTTTCTCGGTCAGAGCTTGCCTCTCTCTTGGACCTTTGAAGACAGCCTTGGTGGCACCTGGAAGAATAGTCATAGGCCCTGCACACCACCAGCTCACACTGCAGGTAAACCTCTGGATTGCTCCGAATGAACTGGAAGGCATTGAATTTAAACCGCAGGATGTGCCTCTGGGGTGAGTAATAAGCAGAATAAGTGGGATCTTTGACACACCTAAAAAGGAACAAAAAAACCCCTCTCATGAATATACACTGCAGTCAGTCATTTACACGCAATAAAACACACAGCATGAGAAGTCATTTTTAATCATAATGAAAATGGTTCAGAAAGCTGCAAGTGGGAAAACCAAAATGCCTTTCTTTGCCAAAACTGAACCACATTGCCTTTCCTCAGCCTGTCGTGTGTTTGATATGTGGTGTTTCTATGATTCTGTGAAGGTAAATTGACCTTACCTGAGGTATTTCACCATTACCTTAATAATAATAATAATCCATCATGAACTGGCTATAGCCATTTAGTCTACTTGTTATTTTTAGCTGTGGTGTGTGTGTGTGTGTTATATTTTGGGTCAATCCATCTCCCTTTTCCCAGTGAACCCTGAATGCTGGTGTCCATTAATTGATTAGAAACCGTCATTATTATGTGCTATATTCACACTATTCTATTAAATTAAAAAAAATAAAATTAATAGGAGATACAGGAGTTTGAAGGCAGTTGTATTCTAATTGTAATTCATAGGAACTCACCCATTCTTGATTATAGGATAGGTTCTGGTTGTAAAATTGTGGCGAGTGGGAGATGCCACACAAGTGTCCAGAAATAACTCCAGCATTGGGTCAGAGCTGTGCAGGGAAGCTTCCAGGAACAAATTCTGGTTGATGCCAACATGGTAGGGTAAGTCATACACTGGCCGTGAGAAGCTTGAAGAGTCATAAAATGTGAGGTTTACATCGTATCTCTCATACTGAGTTTCATTGACTTCAAAATTGCCGTCCGCGACGTACATCGTTTTTGCCCACGTGTTCTGGAGCATCTTGCAGTTGATATGCAAGAGAAGATTTCTATTTCTTGTGATTAATGTACCAGAAGAGGACCCTCTAATAATGTTGGAATAGCTGATTGTGTTGTTGTTTCCCTGTTTGGCATTTAAAATAAAACGCAAAATAAATTCATATAGCCAGGTACCCTATTATACATTCTGAACTTTGCTGTACCCTTACAGCAATGCGCACGGTAAAAACATTATTTCCCAAAAAGTCTGATGTGGAAAAGTCTGAATCTAGTAATTTCTGTTCTCAAGATAAAACTCTGTAATCTTCATGTGATATTCAGTGCCCACAATTTTGGTCTAGAAAACTACTCACAATAAATGCAGATGTAACAGAATTAAATACAACCTGTACAACATTAAGTATGTGAAGGTTCAGGTCCAGCACATTATTTAAGCTGAAATCTGGCTACAGCATTATTAGCCATGTTTAGTGAAAGCTTTGAAACCTTTGTAACTATCACACTCAGCCTAGGACCTTGAAAATGCCAAGTATTTGTATCCTTCCACAGCTTATTCCTTTGGAGATGGATAATGGGTTGTAAGGGAATGTTCTGTTAGCAGAGGAAGAAAATGCAAATAAACCTTATCCTTCACTAGAGAGGGAGAAAACCCATAATCACCAGGACACTTCCAGTCCCTGCAGATCCCAGGTAGCTTTCAATTTGTGCTGGTTTTCAAAGTGAAATATTCTGTTTGGATTTTTATATCTTCCCGTTATTTGCCCACTTTGTTGAAATGTTCAGTCCTACCTCTCTGACGGTGCCACAGCGAGTGTATGGAATGTCAAATGACACAGAATTTGATGTGATGTTGGGTGTGCAAAAGGGGTCGTTCAGGGTGAGGTTCCAAGCAGAGTAGCCATGGGACTCAAGGAAGTATCTGCTCACAACCACGTGCATGTAGTCTGGCAAACACAGCAGTGCTAGTGGATGGCAGAGAAAATACGTTACAAGCTCAGTGAAGTGACCAAAAAAGGTTGTAAGCAGTGGATTAAATAAACACTATCTTTTGCAGAAGCAGTTGATACGGCAGAAGGAGTTCAGAATCCAAACCACGGACTTGAATCTCCACTAAAACACTACAGATCTAATTTAAATTTTACAGATCTAATTTAAAACACTAACAAGATTAACAATCAGTGAACCAGAAAATAATTGAAAATGGTTCTGCTTTAAAGTTTAACTTACTGGTGCTGTCATCAGCTGGAGTGGAATAATAGTTGGCCTGAAACCCTCTGTATGTGTATCGGGAGTCGCTGTGAAAGCGGACGCTCATCAGGTTTGAGGATGATGTGTAGCTGGGGTAATAACCAGAACAAATCTTCCCAAGGAGAGGAGAGGTTTGCAGGGGCCCATCATAGATTTCCACATAGTCAGAGAGGCATCTGCCACCTTCCATCCTGGGAAGCAACATAACAATTTGGTTTAATGCTTCATTTTTATGTTCTTTGGTTTTTGTTTGCTTGTTGGTTTGGTTTTTTAGTCAGATTATCGCTTTATCTTTGGCAGAAGATAATTGATATGACTGTCAAATCTCTGGAACAGAATCTACAGCCTTTAATTTCTGTCTCATTAGATGTCAGCCATGTTTTTTGCAAAAATGAACACATCTTCCCTCTCCAGATGTACTAAAAGCTTTGATAAAGATCCTTGAAATCAAGTAGGCATTTGCTTAGTAAGCCCAAGTTGTCAGTCCCATATGTTCATCTTCCCCAGTAATAAATTCTTACTTACTGAATATCTGTAAATTCAATTGTGACGCGGAAGTTGCTTTTTACTTGTATTTCCCACACGCAGTTGGCATTGTTTGGATAATTTCTGGGGTAAAATGGGCTCTGTAAGGTACCAGATGAAGAGGAGAGCAAACCACCACAAGAATAATCTTCTGCAGAGAAAAATACAAGAAGAAAAATATATGTATGCACCTTTAGGGTGTGAAGTTTATGTCTAAATGTAGAGATAGTGACTTCTATCAGCTTCAGTAGCCTCTCCATCAGGTTCATATACACCTGAATGCAGGTTAGGAGATGCTAACCACACTGAATAGATTTTATAATGCTGATCTGCAGTGCTTGCACTAGCAGGACACAAATATTTTCCACAGAAGTGGGCAGTTTTGAGGCTGGAATTATGAAGGTCAGCTGTTCCTTGAAATAGGAACCCCCTATTTACAATTGCTAATGACCACAGGGAAGAGGAAAAAAATAATCAAATAATTTTGTTTCAAAAAAAGAATGCTGATAAATATCCCGTTCACAAATTTACCCAAGTCCTCCAAACCTACCTGAGGTTGGTGACGGAGTGGAAGTATCGGGAGCTGTAGGGAGAGAGCAGCAGGTGAACACTCAGCATTTTGCCTAAGAGAAACAGCCCTCTTGAAGGGACACTGAGACACCAGACCCACAATCACTACCTGGACACATGGCAGGTCCCTGTGTGGCTGCACCTCCCCGTCCACCCACCAGCCCAGGGTGCAGCTGGTGTTCTGGATGTGCAACAGCTCCCATAAGTAGGACCTTGACCTCTTTTGTTAATGGTCAGAAGGGTGTGAACCCAAACTGGAGAGAGGACAGTCAGGCAGACGGTGCTGCTGCCATTGAGAGGGAGCCTGGCACTGCAGACAGAGCAGCAGCCAGCCTTGCTGTTCCACAGCTCCTCAGCTGCCAAAAGGAGTTCTCTGCACTGTGGCTGAGCACATCACCCCCCTTTATTTTAGAAAAACAAAAAGTAGCCTTTGGCCACTGTGGCAATGAGTGTGCCAGGGCTGAGCAAATCCTCTGCCTACAGCACACTCAGGAAAACAGATGATAGCTCAGTGGCAGCACTGGGGGAAGTGGAGAGAGTCCCATTCCTGCCCACCAGGCAAAGAAACAGTGTCTGGCAGCAGCTTCATGGCCATTCTCTCCTGAAGAATGCCCTTGATCCAGGCTGCCTCTAAGTGTGGCCAGAGGCTCTGGATGCCCACAAGGTGTTGAGGGCCACCAGAAGCTCTTTGTGACCGAGTTTGAGCTCCTGCCCTGGCGAGGAGGAAAGGACAGCTCTAGCCTTACCCACGGTGGCATTGAAGGCAAGAAATGATGAGTAGTAGGCGTGGAAGCCCCTCCTGGTGACGCTGCCATCACTGCGGAACAGGACGGTGAGCTGGTTCCCGGAGGAGTTGAAGACGCGGTCGTCGTTCCGGCAAACGAGGCCGAGGCGCGCGCTCTGAGGGGACCCTCCGTCGAACACCTCGATGGCATCGAAGGGGCAGCTGCTGCCTTCCAGCCTGCAGGGAGAGCAGGATCTGCCTGAGCACAGCTGCAGGGCCCAGCAGCCCGGCTCCATCCCCACCTCAGTGCTCAGCAGCGGCTGCCGAGGCCCCGCGGTGGGGACGAAGCCGCCCCAGATCCCGCTGGACTCACTCCACGTCCGTGAACTGCAGCCGGATCCTGCGGGCCGGGTTCCGCAGCTGGATGCGCCACACGCAGTAGGCGTTGTTGGGGTAGGAGTTGGGGTATCCCGGGCTCTGGATGGTGCCAGACAATCCCTGAAGTAAGCCACCACAGGAGGGGCTCCCTGAGGGAAAGGGAGAGAGATCTTATCCCATCGCCAGAATCCTTCAGAGAAGGGCATGGCCCCGCCAAGGAGGTTTTGCCTCCATGCCAGGCGCCCCAAAACATCATCCCTGTATCCCCCCAAGCCAGGGCACGGGTTGTGCTGAGCTCATACAATAACCCAGATCCATGGGGATGGCTGTCCACCTGAGGAAGGAAATAATCAGACCCCCTAACTCCTGTGGACCTAAATGTGGTTTGTGACAGAGGGGAAGTTGAGCTGGAAGCACCTGGTGCTGCAGGGAGAAATCAGCAGGATTCACTGCCAGCATTTTTCCTAAGAGATACAACCTGCCTGGAGTGGAGTCAACCCTCTCCAGAAGCCAGGATCTTTCCAGTGGTGCCCAGTGAGGGGACGAGAGACCATGGGCACAAACTGAAACAGGGGATTTCCTCTGAACACCAGGAGAAAATTTTTCTCCTGGCTTCAGGGTGGCTGAGCACAGGCACAGGTTGCCCACAGAGGTGGCAAATAGCCAAAAACCCTCTGGATATGGCCTTGGGTAGTCAGCTCTGGCTGATCCTGCTTTTAGCCAGGGGGTAGGACCAGATGTACTCCAGAGATCCCTTCCAACCTCATCATCCTGTGATTCTGTGATGGATAACTGAGAGCAGAAGCTAGTCCAGCCCCATAGCTCCTCTGGACATACCTGTTGTAGTCCACAGCCTGGTGTACATCCGTCTGGAGACAGTAGGTGCTGCAGGGAGAGAGCAGCAGATGAGCAAGCAGTGTTTTACCTAAGAGGATCATCCTGCTGGGAGTCCCCCCTCTCCAAGCCCACATGAAACCCCAGTGAAAGCCAAAGCCCACAGTCAGCACTGCAGTGGGGCAGGACTGAGGTGGCTGCAGTGCCAGCTGTGCCAGCACTTGCTCAAGGGCATCCCCACTGCAGCAACATGAAGACCAGTGCCAAACCTCTCCCACAGAAGTGGCTGCGCAATCCCAAATGATCCCAAGCAATCCCACATCTCCCTGAATGTTAGGGACATTAGCCAGGGTATGTAAGTACAGCATACACAGAGCATCCCAAAGGAAGAAAATCCCATGGAAAACCCATATATAAACAGAAATCTCTTGTTACCTGCTGTTGGAGTCACTGCTATTCCCGAGTCTGGAAGGAGAAAATCAGAGGATGTGAGGCACTAGGAGTGCTTGGCTCCCCTTGGACCACGTATTTAATTTCATGGAAAGTTATGAAGGAACCCATGGGGAAGATGGCCTGACTGAAAACCATCCCTCTCCTCACACCCTGCTCTGTGCAGGAGTGATGCCCAAACCCCAGATTTCCCAGGTACAGTCTGCAAACATGAGATTGTTGAAACACCCTCCTCTGCCCTGCTGAGCGTGGAGCAAGGGCTGGGCAGCCTCCATCCCACCTCAATCCAGATGGATTTTCTTCAGGAAAATGCCACCAAAACACAGACACCCACCTGAGCACACGACAGAAGCAGGTCCATGGTAACAGGCACGGTACTTGTATTGGTAGGGGCACTGCCACACGTAGTTCTCAGTGCCCGTACAGTTCACCTCAGAAATCATGTACGGGTACGAGCTGCTCGGAGGGAAGCGGTACATGGCTGCCAGAGGGAAGCCACAGCCCAGCTGCCTGCACACCACCGTGGCGTCCTGCATGTCCCACAGGGAGCCACACACCTTCTCCCAGGCTCCAAAGTAGTAGATCTCCACATTGCCCGCACACCGGTTGGGCCCGTCGTTCAGCCTCAGCTGCAGATCTTCAAGAGACACAAAGCCCTTGGTCAAGCCAGTGGTGCTCTGGCTCCAGGGAATGACATCCCACACCCTCTCTGGGCATGGCTTTATCCACCTGCAGCACAACCCAGGGCTGGAAGCCCCTTCTCAGCTCCCACACTGTAGGATTGAGAGGTTGGGGCAGCCAGGGCAGGCACTCACATCCCTGTGCCCAGGGCAATGACAAGAACCCTGGCAGACAGACTCACCATCAAATATGATTGGAACTGTGGAGGAGAACAAGCAGAGAGAGAAAAAAAAAAAAAAAAACAACACACACACACACACAGAGCAAAAGAATTAGGACAAATACTTTGGGAGCTGTCACTTCCTCCAGTGAGTCAAGATCCCACTGAAGTGCACAAGTTAAAGATGTTTTTCATTCTAGCAAGGAGGCTGGTTGCTGGAGGGCAAAGCCATCCCCAAATTCCTCCATCCCAAATATTTTACTTCTCATGTACATCCCCATCCCCACCCTAAAGAAAATGTGAGCTTGTAATCATACTAATTTCTTCCCAACAATAAATGCTATTGCAAAAACATAAATCTATCACAGTTATAGAAAGTAACAATCTGATAAATTCTACTTACTGGTCGTGGAGTCAGTAGTTGTTGGGGGTCTTGTTGTGGCTAGAGAAGGAAAAAGTAAGATATCATATGTGAAGGTCAACAAGGCAAATTTAACATGCAACCTCCTCAAACCCTGTTCAGTCTCTAGCAATTTGCAGCCATTGAACTTTAGATCCAGGAGATTTCTGTCTCTTTTAGTCAATCTCAGCAGTATTTTCTGCCAATAACCATCAACACTTTCTGTGAGCCCACCAAAACCTGCAACTGGCCCAGAGAGTGCTTTGAAGTGGGACCAGATTTCTCAGGTCACTCAGCCCCCTGAGCTGGAAGAAGGGACAGGGAGCAGGATAAATCCCCATAACCCAAGGGGAATCCTGTAAACCACTTGGATAATCACAGCTCTGTGGGGCTGGATGGGATCTACTCAAGGGAGCTGTGGGGACTCAGCCTAGAGGAAAGAAGGCTCAGGGGGAACCTTATTTCTCCCTACACTGAAAGGAGGCTGTGGCCAGGTGGGGTTCAGTCCCTTCTCCCCCATAACAAGGACACAGCCTCAAATCAGACTGGAGATAAGGGGAAATCTCTCCTTGGAAGGAACAGGCTGCCCAGGACACTGGTGGAATCACCATCCCTTGAAGGGATTTAAAAGACACGTAAATGTGGCACATGTAGACATGTAAATGTGTGGGGCTGCTGGGTTAATGGTTGAACTGATGATCTTAAAGGTCTTTTTCAGCTGGAACAATTCTTTGATTCTATCTGCTGGTTTTAGCTGACCTGATCAGGAGCTGGTAGCTCTGCTACTGATATGAGAATAGGCTGTGAAAAACTGCCTCTTTCTCCAAAGCAAGCAATGAAAACCTCAGCAGAAATGAAGATGACATAAAATATCTGGGGAGGTGCTCAGAACAAGACCAGTGACAAGGGAGGCTGCATTATTTTCATCGGGCACAGCTGCAGGTGAAAAAGGAGTCTCCAAAAGCCCCTGTCCCAGGTTCTGCTGACATTCCCACTGCATCTAAGCTGCCTCTCGTTCCCTTCCCCCTCCAACACTGATTCCATCAATACCACTGGAGCTGATTTCACTAGCATGGTCAAAGAAGGTTTTTCCTGCTAGGGCTGATGGAAACCCTCCAGGTGGCACTAAGAGATCAGAGGTGTCCCTCAGGACAGGGCTCTGGCAGGCGGAGAAAGGGGATCCCTTCCCCGGTGTTTTTGGATCGGGTGACAGCACCAAACCTATATTCAGAATTAATAACGGCATTTCATGTGAGTCCTGCTCTGTCCCTACACAGGTGACTGAAAAGCAGTCTACAAACCTGTATCCAGCCAAAATTTGTACTACAAACCTGTATTCAGTCAGTATTTGTCTGTATAAACCATGGATGATTTTGCTCTGGGATTTCAGAGATACTCAGAAACTGCTGCATTTATACAGCCTCCACTTTTAACCTGGCTTTATTACCCTAAGCTTTTAAGCCAAGCAGTGATTTAACTAAGCTGTTCATTGCAGTGATGACTCTCATTCTTTCTGTGAGAGAAGCAACAAATATTCAATTATATGCTGTGTTTTAAGTGCACGAATATGCTGCCATGTGGATTCTGCATGGGTGCATTCAGCATCTGGAACTCCAGTCTGAAAGACACTGACTACCCTGGTATGTTGGCTACTACTGGAGTAAGAGAGTTTTCATCAGCCTGGAGAGAGAATATTTAGCAAGGCCAACTCTATAAGCTATGTACATTTTTATGTAACTTTAAAGTTATCTGTTAGAGGCATTTTTGTTGGAGAATATGCTAGTGTTAACACAGGAAACAAAAACAAGGAAAAAACATGTTGAAGGAATATTACATGAATTAAGCAATGAGGACAAGAAGTTTGCATGCACAGGATCCCCTGGTGGCACTGGCAAAGGGGTGCCAGTGGATTTGCAAGGGAGTGGATTAGCTCCAGCTGAAGTTGGGGATAAAAATCCTACTCTGTGGACAGCCTGAGAGGTGGGAATATGCCCTCACCAATATCATGTTTGATAAGACCTGTGGCATTGGTTTCCAAACTCAAAGTCTATGTGCTTGAAGTGATTTCTGGATGCAGAAGATCCTGACAGGCACAAATGTAATTTATTCAAACTTTCCAACACATCACACCATGCTGCTCCTCATACATGCAAGGCTTTAAATCTAAATTAGCTGGGTGGCAATGAAAGGGTTAAACAGCAACTCAGTATTTTCCAGCTGAACATCAACATCCCAGCTTAGTTTTCAGTATCACTAATTGCACCTCAAATATTTATGGAGAGAGTAAATAATGGGGGCATTAAAAACCTGAGTCTGGCAGCAGCCCTGAATGTTATTCCTTTCTGCTGTGTGTGAGGGTGTGTGTGTGTGAGCATGGAAAGGAAAAACATGTTTTTACTTTTAATTCATTAGTTCCAGTCAAGTTCATTCCAGAACTTTACACCTGAAAGAGGAAGTGAGTTAAGATCCCACTGAAGAGCACAGGTGACAGAAGATCTTTTTCATTCTAGCAAGGAGGGTGGCTGCTGGAGGTCAAAGCCATCCCCAAATTCCTCCATCCCAGATAATTTACTTCTCACGTACATCCCCATCCCCACCCTAAAGAAAATGTGAGCTTGTAATCATACTAATTTCTTCCCAACAATAAATGCTATTGCACAAACATAAATCCATCACTGTTATAGAAAGTAACAATCTGATAAATTCTACTTACTAGTCCTGAAGTCAGTAGTCATTGAGGAACTTGTGGCTAGAGAAGGAAAAAGTAAGATATCATATGTGAAGGTCAACAAGGCAAATTTAACATGCAACTTCCTCAAACCCTGTTTCAGTCTCTAGCAATTTGCAGCCAATGAACTTTAGATCCAGCAGATTTCTGTCTGTTTTAGTCAATCTCAGCAGTATTTTCTGCCAATAACCATCAACACTCTTTGTGAGCCCACCAAAACCTGCAACTGGCCCAGAGAGTGCTTTGAAGTGGGACCAGATTTCTCAGGTCACTCAGCCCCCTGAGCTGGAAGAAGGGACAGGGAGCAGGATAAATCCCCATAATCCAAGGGGAATCCTGTAAACCACTTGGATAATCACAGCTCTGTGGGGCTGGATGGCTTTTTACACCTGAAAGAGGAAGGGGTGGAGAGACAGCAGCTGTGGCAACACTTTTGATGTTTTTCCATCCCTGCATACAGGACACAGCAGCAGTTGCTTAAAAAGAAAGGTTTTGTCTCTCCCAGCACCAGGCTGGCACCCTGCTCAGTCAGGGAAGTCTCACCTGGAAAAGGGGAAAGTATTTTTGGAATACAAAAAGCCTATTTCACCCTCTTTGAAATATCCCCCCTCCCATCAGACCCACCAATATTTGTCTTGGTCCACAAAGTGATGGAGTGGCTGGGCAGACCATTGACTATGTAACAAAATTAAATTAGGAATTAGTCTATGGGAAATTAAACTAATAAAAAATTACAGTAATTTCCATTACAATTTAATCAAATACAAACCCCACAGTTCATACACCTCACCCCCTTTAAAATAAATATGTATTTAGTCCAGAAAATACGTATTAGTCTAACTTTACATCTATTATCCCAATATAAAGGATTGGAAAATGTTATAATTGGCTTTGCAGTACATTAATTTTAATTTCCTTTACTAGGCTCTTTACGAAAAGTGATGGGAAAAAAATTAAATTCATTAAGCAGTTTTGATAACATTGATTTGTTCACCTCATAGGTTTGACCTGCTCTTGGTTTTCAAAAGAGCCGAGCCATGCTGATAAATCTCCTTTTTCCATTAAATCCCAACGTTAGCCCAAGGAGAAATAAAGCTACAAAGGTGACCAGAAGTGAGGCTCTTTACCTGCATCCTCCTGAATGTGAAGGATTACCACCACCATCCAAGACAAGATCCTGGTGGCAGCCATCTCCTTGGAGCTCCTGATGCAGGAGGACACCAGAATTTATAGGCAGAGTCACCCAAGGGTGCAGCTCAGCAGCCCAATCTCTTGTTTCTGTAGCTCAATACCACATTCCCCGCTGCTCCCACTTCCCTGACTTCCAAGGCCACATGTTTGATTTGTAAACCAATATTTACAGCTTCCTGGTTCTGCAGGAGGACAATACCTGGCATCTGATCCAGGGAAAACAGGGATCAGAAGTTGTTGCAGGAGCTGCTGTTTTTCCACCCCATCCCTCTTGGGCTGTGGAATTCTCGTGCTGTCACTTATGTAACTTGTCCCTTTCTTGGGTTTGAGCTGTATCTGACACAAAACTGCTTTTTAGGCTGGTGTAAAATGTGCTTTTCTTTTCATGACTGAACATGTGGAAGGGTGGGAAACAACCCAAGGGCTCATGGAAACCCTTTGTGCTCTGTCCTAAGAGATGTCACAAAAACATGCAGTAAAAGTGAGTGCATTCTTCTTTTTCTGTTCTCCCCCTGTTCATCCCTCAGTGAGCTCTATCCTCACCAGGGCAGCAAGAGTCAGGATGTTTAAGCTCTGCAAGTTCATCAAAAATATTCTTTTGACTTTTGACACAAACCCAAGCTAAGCGGTCATACACTGACCATTGTTAGACTGCACAAAACCATTCCAGAGAATAAGGGCTCTAAGTCTGGGAATAGGGGCAAATATAAAAAAGAAGTGAAAATTCATCCCAAATTCTCTATTTCTGAAGCTCTTAAGAACTTGGCAGAACTCTTGACACAGTTGTCCCCCTAGATTTACAACAAATTTAAGGGAATAGAAAAGTAAGGACATCCAATGGAATTTACAATGGATTTTTACAAAGAGAAAGTAGCTCAGGTTATGATGAAGTTTCAGTGGATCCAAGTGCTCATCAAAGAACACACCTTTGCACAGCAAAATTGGCAATGTTTGGACACTATTAAAACCTCAGAATCACAGAACTACTTAGCCTGGAAGAGCCCCTGATCCATGCCTCAGTTCAAAGTAGGGTTATATTCAAAGTTCAATCAATCTTTAAAAAGTCTCAGGGTGTTAGTAAGTTGTGTAACTCAGAATTCTGCATTTTCTTTCTAGAGAGAACGTACAAAAACTCCTAGTAGATAAAAATTTGACATCCTGGTTGTTCCTGCTGTTAGTTTAGGATTTATTACTGATTGGCAAACAAATTGCTTCTCAAAAACTCAGGAACAGGTTTCTTGTGCCTCCTGAAGCATGCAATGCAACAGTCCTGGACAGCCAGTGACCAAACTCAACTTCACACAGCACAGGAGAGCCAAAGGAAGATCAAAAGGAGAAAGGAGGCACAAACTCCATTGTGAGAATGGGGGGAGAAATGAAAGGATTAGTTTGTTAGACATGCAAACAGTTTGTTGACTCTGTAAACATGGGGAGACTTTTATTCTCATGGCTTTGCAAGGCAGGTGGAGGAAGTGGTCCCTTGGAGGGACTGGAGGAAGTAAAGGGTTGTGGCCTGGTAAACACATTGGGGCAGCTGTTGCAGACCTGGAGAGATGAAAGAAAAATAAAACCAGACTAAAACCATTCAAAAGTCAATGAAAATTGATACTATTTGAACGCAAAAAGAGAACGTGTGCGACAACCCCACGCTCAGGGTGACTGGTCCACAAAGATGCCAGTGACAATCAGCACTGCATGGCCATCCCACTCCAGCACTGGCATTCTCTGTGTGGAGCACAGCATCTCAGTCCCTTAGATAAAAAAGAAGAGTTGTGGATTGCCTTTGGCTGGCTGCAAGACACCCACCCAACCCCTCTCTCATTCCTCCTCCTCAAGAGGACAGGAGAAGAAAAAAAGGTGAAGGAGTTCATGGGTTGAGATAAGGATGGGGAAATTACTTATTGTCACATGGAAAACAAATTCAGCTTCTAGAAAAACAACTTGATTGCCAATTAAAATAGACTTGTATAGTGAGAAACACATATAACTGAAACAAAACCTTCCCTACTCCCTCTTCTGCCAGGCTCAAGGTCACTTCTTCATTCCACTGCTGTCCTTTCCCCCTTTCTGAGTGGCACAGGGGACCGTGGTGAGTCCATGACAGTTTGTCACTGCTGCTCTGTCCTCCTCGCCCTTTTTTAATGCTCCATTGTGGGTCCTTCCCCTGGGCTGCATAAACCATCAGGATAATCCAGCATCAGTTCTCCATGGCCACAGCTCCTTCAGGAAATGTCCTCTTGCTCCAGCACAGAGGCCTCTGTGGATTGTGGGGACATCTCAGGTCTGGCACAAGGAGAACCTCCTCCTCCTTCTCCATCTCCTCTAATTTTGGTGTCCAAAGGGCTGTTCCTCGTGCTTTCTACCCCAAATCCTCATTTCCTGCATGGCATTTTGCACTTTCTTAAATACAATTTAACAACTAAATAAAACTTGTCCAAGCCTTGAGGTGGGACTGTTGCAGATCTGGCTGGAACATACCAAAGCACCAGAGTTGCTGGGTCAGTAGTCAAGACACCAGTTGGCACCTGTAGAACCATCCCCTCTATTTAATTTCATTTGCTTCATTTGCGGTGGTCAGTACCCTGACATTGCAGAAAAAAATTCACAGAATGAGCAGGTTGGAAGAGACCTCCAAGATCAAGTCCAACCCAGCCCCAACTCCTCAACTCAGCCCTGGCACCCAGTGCCACATCCAGGCTTTGTTAAACACACCCAGGGATGGTGATTCCACCACCTCCCTGGGCAGCCATTCCAGAACTTTATCACCTTTCTGTGATAAAAGAACCAGCAGCAAAATGGTGCCCTAGTACTGACCTGGTTTTTTGGATGTTTCTTCCCACCAGGTGGGATGGCTGATGGAGTGGGGGATTTTCTTGACTCTTGGCTTATTTAACCAGAGCTGGAACTTGATGGCATGTGTGAAAACCTTCATTTCAGTTTGGATCCATGCTTCCTTTAAAAGTCAACTATGCAATGAAATGCTTGTCCATTGGATAGGATAAAGCATGTAAGATGTTCACACTTTTTAATTAATTGTTATAAGCAGTCAGCTCCCACTAACTCCTTCAAATTCAGTTGATACCATAGCTTCTATTCCAGCATCAGTGATGCTTCTCCCCTACAACAGGGCATGGCAAGGGCCAGAAGCAGGTACCAATCACTCATCCCAAGCTGAAATAGCCTCCATGGCACACAGTTCCCTGCTCCCTGTCCACTCTCCCCATCTCTTCCCCTTCCTTGCACCTCTGTGCAAAGCTTTGTTTGCACAAGTGACACCAAAGCAAATTGTAAGGCAGGAATGGTTTCATTGCATCAGGAAATCAAGATTTATGATTGAGCTATGTTTGCTTGGGATGGGGAAGATTAAATGATTTAATCTGGCACTGGACACAGCCTTGGTGCCTGGCCGTGGGAACACCAGCTCCCTCCTGATAGGCCTCCTCCATCCCTCTCCTGCACTTGGTTCCATTTCTCACTGGCCACTAAGTTTCAGAATTGTTCCTTAAGTACAGTGGTGCATCTGGAAAGGAGAGGAACAAGTCTGAAATTGATTTTCCCCGTAGAAGGCTTGCTGGCACTGCTCTGTCCCTGTTATCTGCAGCTGCTTGGCTCAGCCCTACAACCCTCCCACTGACCCTCTAGAGATTCCTTCAGTTCTCCTGCTGTTCTCCTTCTTATCCAGCTGTGCCTGTGTTCACCACGGATGTCTGAGAGCCCGTGCACAGCTGGAACAGAACCAATTAAAGATCTTGCTTGCAAGGTACCCGCAGAGAAGCCACCACTGCAGACAAACACAGACACTGAGTTCCCCCACGTGGCTGTGGGGTCTCCTTTCTTCATTCCTCTTGTACCCCCTCTCTCCTTGCTGCTCCTTTCCCAGCCCACTCCTCTGCTCCCCTCCTGTCTCCCTCAGCCCCAGGAGGAAATGAATTTGGATCCACACCAGCAGCTCACAGGAGGGCAGAGGGGGTTTGTCCAAACAACTCATGCCTGATGAGTTATGGGTGAGAGCATCCAAGTAAGTAGGTAGGGCCTGATCTCCATGAGAGCCAAGAGCTGTGTAAGGAAATCATTTTATTCTCGTGATACTTAGGATCTATGACATTCCAGAGCAGTAACCATTCTCCAGCCAGGAGCAGAGTTTAAAAATAGGGAGAAAAAAGGCTCAGCACAAATTCAGGCTGAATTCAGCAAAGAATTTCATTTGACCAAAATACTAAAGTGCATAAAACTTATGTTCTGGACCTGTCATAACAAGATGCTTCAAGTAGTCATAGAAAATTGAACCAATCTATTATTTAAAGCTTGAAGAGCCTGAGACAGCTCCTTTGAGTCAGTGAAAGATTGCAGCTGAAACATTTATTAGGTAACCCGCTCTGCTATTTTTGAGTTGCTCTCCCATGTTTGGAAGAGATATTGAACTGTTCAGGAAATGAGAGGACTTGTGATTATTTGGGAAAAGCACTAGGCAGATGAAAGGACACTTGTGCCTTGTCTCATTTTGTGCTGCTCTTGGTCGCACCTCATCTGCTTCCAGCTCTCCTCCCTCTCCCAGACCTCCACTGGCTCCAACCCACCCCAATTAATAAACACCAACCTCTTTGAAGGCAACAAAATTTGTTCACCAAATATAAGTATGAGATAAGAGAAATCTTTGATTTTACAGCAAGGGAACATCGTGCAGAACAGGAACACTTTGATCCCTGTTTGCTTTCTGGTAGCAGACACCCCAATATTTTACACATCATGTCAGAGCACAGCATATTCCTTTGTATGAACATAAAGTCACCACTCCTTAAACCAACACACTCAGACCAGCAGCTGTGAAGACTGATAAAGGGTCAACGGCAATGGAAAAATAAATGAAAAATATAATTTTTGAGAATATCCTTGTCATTAGGATCTCCTAACACCCAAGATCTACATAAACAGCTACTGCAACAGAGACAATAATGAGACCTAGAGTAGGGACAAGGACTGAGGTTTCCACACTTTCAAACAACCTTTAAAATTGCAGAAAGCTGTTCCTTACCCTGCAATTCTCCATGTCTGGCACCACAGAGGTAGAAGCAGAGA